AGGCGATGCTGAATAAGGATGCAGATTTGGTGTAGGTGTGTGTGGGTGGGGGGGGGGGTGTTACCGCAGTGCCACGATTTCTTCGGTGGTTTTTTTGTTTTCCTCACTTACTGAGTTGTGGATTACTGCCCTTTCCTCTCTTCCGTTTTTACATTATTATTATTAATACTATTGTTTTTCTTTCTGCATATATTGGTATTCGCCGCGTCTCCGCGATCATCTCTCTCCTCTCTCTCTCTCCACACTCTCTCTCTTTGAAAGCGGTAGACGTTAAATCGCGCTTCTTCTTTGTTTATTATTTTCCTATATTTCTCGTCTTTTGGATTTTGTTTTTCTCTTCGAAGGAAAGACGATAAAAGCCGAAGCGCTACAGCGCTCTGATGTGCATGACAGTGTTTGCTTGTTTGTTTGTTTTGCGCGTCGGGCCCCGGCCTGCTTCTCTATCCCTCCTCGCTCTCCCTTCATTCGCCGGCCTTGGCCTTTCAGTATGTGTGTGTGTGTGTGTGTTGTGCGGCTCGTTGTGGCCAAATATGCTTTCATATTCATATCAACGAAAGTGACTCCTGCTTTAGCAATAATACTGTTGGTATTCTTATTTTTATTTTCATCTCCTTTCAATTCGGATCACAGTGGAAAACGCAGGATCACACAGAGGGAAAAGGGAAAGTGCTTTTTGTTTTTTTTTTCAAAAAGAGGAAGAAGGTGAACGCCTTCGGCTATTGCTGTTGTTTGTATTATTGCCACGTAAGGATGTCGGAGAGTCAGTCGTGAGGTGGTACACCGCAACGGGCAACGAGCACGCGTGCGCTGCGGTGCAAAACAATAAAGTATTTTTTTTCTTTTTTAAAGAAAGCACATGATCCCAAAAAACGAGTACATCTCTTTCTCTCTCTCGAGGGACAGCGGTGCGCGGAGGTCATGCTGGACGACTATCCTTTCTTGATTTCCATTCGCTGTGTTGGTCTTCGTTCAACCAACTTTTCTTTCATACACCTGCATTACCGCCGTCTCAGCACCTAGGCTTGCCGTGTCTTTCCCGTTGTTATATACATATATTTATCTATTTATATTTACGTGCTATGAATTGTAAACTAATTCGCCTGGTTGTGTGTGTGTTTGTTTTTCCCACTTTTTTACTTCTACTTTTTTGTTTTTTCACCAGGCTGCCTTCACCGCCTTCTCTTCAACGGCTGCTGCGGTGTTTTCTTGATGTTTGTTTTGATTAGTAACGCATCCCCCTCTCTCTCTCTCTTTCTCTGTTAATCGCTTTTGTCTTTCTCACATCTGAAACTTATTTCATTTTATATATTTCCCTGATTTTAACATGAAAACGAAATTCTTTTCTTCTGCAACCGTCTCTTTCTCTTGTTTGTTTTTTGTTTTTTCCCTCTCTAGCGTTCTTTCTTTTGCTTTATTATAAGTATTGGTATGATTGTGTTTCCCGTTTTCTGCGTTTCTACTACGTACGTCTTCGCGTATGGGGTTTGCGCTTCTGTTTGCGTACAACGAGAGGAGGTGATAAACATATATATGCATATGTATTCTTAAAAAGGAGAAGCGTTTTATGGTGTTTCGTGATGTATATGTATTGTATTCCTCCTTGTCGTTCTTGTTTTCTTCTTTTTCCTTTTTTCGCTGAGTGCCATGTTTGGCGCCTCCTTCTCCATCGCTCACGCGTCCACCCTCTCTCTCTCTCTTGCTCTTACTCCGATCATGGGCACTTGAACGAGGCGGGTTTCTGCCTGATGTATCGTCGGTTTCCTAACTCTTACTCGCAGACATCTTTTACCCGCTCGCCACTTACTGTCGTACCGCCTCTTTTTCTTTTCTTCTTCTCCCTCTTTTCATTTCTTCTGCTGATGGTCGAATATTGAATAAACGTTAATGGCAGGTAGAATGTGTTGATGCTGATGTCGCTGCTGCTGCTGCTTTCCTCTTTTGTTTGTTTTCTGTCTAATTCGCAGCGATTCGACTCCCTTCTCTTTTGCTTATTTACTACTATCATTATCGTTATATTTTCAACGGCTGCTCTTCTCTTGCGTTCGCACGTCATTGACAGACAACGGCCCCCATCCATCCGAATACATCCGCTGCGCAACGAACTCTTCTCTTTGTTGTTATCTTGTGTGTGTGTGTGTTGGTCAGCACTTCTTCTCCGATCTTTTCTTCTTTGAGTGGCATCGCGAGCCAGAGAAGAACGAAACGTGCTGGTCTGCACACAGCGATACGCGGGCATCGTCACGGTGGGTGTTCGCGTTCTTCCCCTCATCCCTGCTTTTTCCTTCCCTTTCCTTTTCGCACGGACTCATGTCACCCACAGGTATACACACACACATACACAGAGAGGCAGACACACGTGCGAAGAATGCTTTTGGTTTTTTTTTTCTTAGAAACGAGACTCGCAGCGGCGGTGACGGGGCGCGAACTTCTCTGCTGACCCTCACGGGTTGCTCGACAGAAAATAATAGAAAATACAGTACGAAGAAAGCAGCGCAACACGAGATAGTTAAACAGTGAGAGAGAAAAGCGAGAACTCTTCTATTATCATCACTGTCCATTTTTTTGCTTTTGCTCTTGTCTTTCATTGCCTTTGTACTGCGACATGTTGACGTCCTCCTTTCCCCTGCCCCTCCCCCTTGGCCTTTTTTTTTTTTACAATACCAGCTTTGTTTCTTCTTCTGTTTGATCTCTAATGAAACGTTGTCAGCGCCGCACGCCCGGCTCGCATGAGCGACTAAAAAGGCGATGCGTCTTTATGCAAGAAAACGAGAAAAGGGAAAGAAAAAGGAATTGAACTGCATGCACAAGAAGTCGAAGAGGGCGGGGTGGGGAGGTAAGTACGTTTGGTGGTGTTCGCGGAACGGTGCACACGCGTTGATACCTCCAGCGATTACTTTGTGTTTTTTGTTTGTTTTCTTCTCTTGATTTCATTCTCTCTTTCCTATTTATTTTTCATTGTTTTTACTACACCAGTAATCTCAAATGATGCTAGCGACCAACTCCAAAAATGAAAGGAAGAGACCATTCATATATGTGTACCTGTGCTCAGCGGATACCACAGGCGAGCTATGTATTCTTATTCTAATATATATATATATATATATAGCGCCTGATGCTTAGCCTGAATGGATGTAGGAACGAGTTTCAGCGGCGCACACGCACACACACACACACACTTCGAGGGCACCCGCCTCAGCAGGCGTCGATGCCTTCGTCCTGAAAAGAGCACTCTAAACGAGAAGGTTAAAAACAAAATAAAAATGATAGCGTGGTGTGCTTCTAACGAGCGGCGACGGCAAAATGTATACGAGCTTCTGCGTGTGTGTGTGTGTGTGTATACCCCCTCCAGCATCGTGGCGAAACACTTCCCCCCCCCCCCCTCCCCCCCTCCATCCCCTTCCTCCGTTCTATTGTTATTTTCTATTATTGGTGTCTCACGACTCCGCGCAGGTTAACGTAGAACTCCGTTTATCTCAGGCCATAAAGCGTTGTGTGCAGCGGTACTAAAAGAAAAGGGAGAAAAAATAAATCCCGACGTTAGACAACCAAAAAAGAAACCCCTTCTCTCCGTCGTTTTCTTCGCCGTCTTTTCTACGTAACCTGAAAAGATTAAAAGATAATATATATATCAACCAAAAAGTTTGTGTGTTGTGTTGTGTCCACCATGAACGACCGTGCGGACTTCGCCGGCGACAACGCCGGCCACCAGCCCTTCAGCCCCAACAAGGACCTGAAGGACTTCCACATGAAGTACCAGAGTCCCGTCGCCGCGAGCCCCTCCCAGCCCCTACCACCGCAGATCGTGCATCACGTTCAGCCATCGGATCAGCAGCAGCAGCCACTACGCAGCCGCTCACACACCCAACGGCGGGCCCGCGAGCTGCGCGAGAAGCGGGCGCACTTGAAGGAGCTGCAGGACTGGGAGTATGAGGTGCTCACCACGCCGCGTCGCTGGGCCAACCCCGGTCCCATCGGCCTCCTCGGCTTCGGCATGGCGACGCTGCTGGCGAACCTAACGAACACCGGTCACTTCAAGCTGGACACGGTGGTGCTGGCCGTTGCGATTTGTGTCGGTGGCGGTGCACAACTGATTTGCGGTGTGCTCGAGCTGATCCGCGGCAACACCTTCGGCGCGACTGCCTTTGGCTGCTTCGGCGCCTACTGGCTTACCCTCACCTCGCTCTGGATGCTGCCGAACGAAAGCTTCAAACCGTGGAGCGACATGAAACCGACAAGCGAGTACATCATCGGCACTTACCTGGTCCCGTGGGGAATCTTCAACGTCTTCATGGTCGTCTGCTCCCTGCGCATGAACGTTATCCTCTGCGTGCTGCTGCTCAGCACCACGCTGCTCTTCCTGTGGCAGGGCGGCGCGCACATGACTGGAAATGAGAGCGCGATTCGCATGTCAGGCTACGAGGGCGCCGTGAGCGGCTCCCTCGCACTGTACATCTCCTTTGCCGAGCTGCTGAACGAGACGTGGGACCGCACCATCCTGCCCACGATTCCGTTTACGGATGTGCTGGACTGGTTCGGCGCGGACTCCTCCATTCTCGCGTCCGCCGACACGAAGACCGCGAAGCCGGCCGCGGAGACCCCGAAGAAGAAGAAGACAGCAAAGAAGGCGGCGCAGAACGACGAGCAGCTGGCTTGATCTCGTTTCCTGTCGCCACTTCTCCTTGACTTTTTTATCTTTTATGTTTGACGTTTCGATGCTTTCATCGGGTTTTCTTATTTTTCCTCTACTGCTGTGGAGAGGCCCCGAGAGAGATATATCGCAAGGATTTCCGCTCTGTCACATCCACACACAGACTTATATATATAAGCGGAAAAGGGGGAAGTGCATTTCGCGACGGAGGGCGTGTTCGATTCGCCGGTGATGGACAGCAACGAGGCACACGTATTCATGTTTTTTTTTTTAGTTATTTATTGGTGCTGTTGCCATGCCGCGCTTACCCCGAGTAGCTGATCTATCCCTTTTCCCTCGCTCTCGCGCTCTCTCTCTCTTTCACATAGATATATAGGCAGTAGTCGTATTTATCTCGTGGGGTTTGTTTGACATTTTTTGTTTGTTGGTATAAATATATATGTCTTCCTCTTGTCTTCCACGCATCTCTCCACTTTTTTTCTTTTATTTTTCTTTTTCTTTCATCGGTACCTCCCCCATTTCCCTTTCTCATGCGCCTTACTAATGCCCTCTTTTACGAGGAAAGGAGGTTACATATATATCTTTGTAAACGTTTTTTTGTAATTGTTTTATTTCTCTAGCGTTCGAGCTCGTCGCCACGCCAACCCTACACGCTGGTACATGGGGAGGTGATGATGCTATTTTATTTTCAATTCCAATCGTTACTACCGTTATTATTCAAGTGGTGATGGAGCCGCTCTTCTGCAAAAGAAAGGAAAGACAATTGCCTGCACCATTTCTTAATGATGATGGTTACTATTATTGGATTGGAGGACTTCATTGCCTCCTCTGTTTTGCTTGTTTTGTGTTTTCGCACTTCAAAACGACTTCTTTTTCTTCTCTCCTACATTGTTTTCCTGAATTTCCTACTTCCCTACTTTTATGTTTATTATTGTTTTGTGTTCTTCTTCTCTCCTCCACCCAAAACGATCGCAGAAGGTGTACCGCAGGTACGTCAACGACGTACGCGTCTCTTGATGATGGCGGGAAGCAAAGAAGAAGAAATATATATATTTATAAACGGCTGTCTTCCTACTCTCTCTCTCTCTCCCTTTTATACGCGGCCTGAAGATAGCAAATGATGCTTATCATCCGCAAGACGAGGAGCGGGCTACGCTTTCCGTTTATTATTTGATATTTCTTTTCTTCTTCGTCTTCTCTCTTCCCGCGCTGTGACGCTTACGCCTTGCTTTTTTCTTTGCTGAGTGCGCACCTTCTGCCAGATGGGAGACAGAACATCACGGCGATAAACATCCATGTCTTTATATATATGCGCATCCATGTCTTTCACAAATAAGCCAAAAAACGAAACGAGAAAACCAAAAACAGACGGTGCCCGTCTTACTCCCTTCGCACGTGTGCTGATGTGTGTGTTTGTGTGTGTGTGGTCGTCTTCAGCTTTGTCGTCTGTGCAGCTTATCTACCTTCATTCCTAAGATTTTTTTAAAACATATATTCTTCTGTACCTCTTCTTTCGCTTATGCGTTCCTATTTCCCGTATTATGACCGTTTTACCTCTCTTTCTTTCGTTCCTTCTCCTCCGCCGGGTTTTTCATTCTTTCTTCTTCCTCTTTTGCTTCCTTTGACAGCGCGCACGACTCCGTGCGACTTTTTACGGTGAGAGGAAGGACAAAGCAGAGAGGAGAGACGGTGTTTTTTAATTTATTATTGCTAGTTTGTTTGCTTGTTCTTTATTATCTTCATTTTCATTATTATTTTTCGAATTGGAAAGCTGCAATGTGAAGTACGCACAAACAACGGCGCCGCTCTTTCTTCTTTTGGAACTTTCTCCCTCTCCTCCCGTCTCTATTTTACTGATCTTGATTTTTACCCCACCCACCCACCCAACCCCCTCCCTCGATGAGCTAACGCCTCATTTAAGCGTGATCTGCCGGTGCTAGAAAGGCAAGCGCAATGGAAAACATGGGTGTATTGGAAAAGAAAAACTTTTAAAGAAAGCATGTGTTTCACGCGACTTCTCGGTGAGATGGGGTTCTGCTTCTTGCGGGTGAAGGTGCCGCTCGACTTGATGCTGGGCCGCTGCTGTTGACCCTCGCCGGGTTATCTCCCCTCTGTTATTGTTTTCTTTTGCGAAGTGCGACTTCGTTATGCGTCTTGGTGTATGTTTTTCCCTTTTCTTTTGCTGATGATGTGTATTTGGTTTTCGCACGTGCAGACCTTGCTTCTGGTGTCGTTCATACTGTTGTTGTTTGCACCGGCGCTCTCCTTTATCTCTATCTCCCCCTCTTCTTCTTCTCTTCTCTGCTTGTGCTTGTCGCTGTGTGTTCTGCTGATGTAACTCCGCACAACACGAAATGAATGCTAACAACAGTAGTAGTAGCAGTACTAGCAGTAGCACCATCAGCGACAACTCAAAACACGCAAACACGTGCACACATCCCGCTTTCTTTGAGATTACTACGCAAGGAAACCACAGGCTTCATCATGCCTGTCAACCACCCAAACAGCAACGAAGGCGGTGGCCCGGCCAAGGTGAAGTACCCCTCCAACACCGTCCTGGCCTTCGCCCAGCGCGAGGATGCGAACTACCTCGACGACGACGCCCTCGTGGCGGAGATGAACGACGTTAACGCGGATCCGCTGCTCTTCCCGGCGCAGACCCGCGCCCTGTCGAAGCTCGAAGAGCGCGAGGAGCGTCGCCTGCGCGGTGACCCGTGGCGGTTTGCGGTGGCGCCGATCTTCTGCCTCCTCTCCATCTCCAACGCCATGCAGTGGATCGCCTTCTCGCCCATCGTGGACGAGGTGCGCGCCTTCTTCCACATGAACGCGACGCAGGTAAACTTCCTCTCCACGACGTACGTCATCTCCTACGTCGTCATCGTCTTCCTGAGCTGCAAGATGTACGAGGTGACGGGGATAAAGATTGGAGTGATGATCGCCGCCTCCGCCAACGCGCTCGGGGCGCTGCTGAAGATCATCGCGCTCTACGCCTGGCCCAACGCGGTGCTGCTGTACATCTCACAGGCGGTGTGCAGCATCACCGAGGTCCTCACCATCGCGACCCCGCCGCTGATATCCAACCGCTGGTTCCCTGAGAACGAGCGCACGGTCGCGAACACGCTCATGTCGTCCGCGCTCAACTTCGGCTGCGGTATCGGGGTGCTCATCCCGACGCTCTTCGTCGGCCCGGACAAGGCAGGCAAGAAGAACTTCGGCAACTTCTTTTGGTTCCACCTCGCCTACGCGGTGTTGATGCTGCTCCTCGTCATTTTTCTCTTCCCCCGCAAGCCGCGCTTCTCGGCGAGCCACGTGGCGGCCCGGCAGCAAGACCACGAGGAGCGTCGCATGCGGGCCCTCGACAACGTTCTCCACCACAACAACACAGACGACAGCGAGGAGGAGGAGGAGGAGGGAGGGAACGAGCACAACAACGGCGCGATGGCCGCCACGATGAAGAAGCGGCAGCAGCAGCTGAAGAAGAACGAGCCGACGAGCGCGGGCTTGACGGAGCCAAATGCGGGAGAGCAGGACGGGCAGACGAAGGAGAAACCGACAGCAGCGGCGGCGGCAACAAAGATGAAGAAGAACAGCAAGAAAGCGAAGCACAACCACAGCAATGGTGCCGACCGCAGCAGCAGCGCGGCTGGTGAGGGCAATCAGTGCATCAGCGAAACCCACGCCGTGGATGAGATCAGTGGAGTGATGCAAGGCGTAGACTCCGACACGGAGACAGAGGAGGAGCCGGAGGTGCAGCCAGTGAACGTCTTCTCGGTACTGATGGACTGCTTCCGCGAGTTCCGTCACAACGTGTCCTTCGTCTTGCTCGGCATTGGCTCTGCGGCAGAGCTCGGTTTGATCTGGGGTGTCGCCACGGTGCTGCCGCAGATGTTAGCTCCGTACGGCATCAGCGAAGCCACATCTGGCTGGATCGGCTTCTTGAACCTTGTCCTTGGCACGGTGGTCTGCCCGTTCTTCATGCCCCTCGTCGACCGCTTCGGACGGCGCTACAAGCTGCTGCTCTGCTCGCTCGCTGGGTTGGTGGTGGTGGTGATGGTGCTCCTCACCCTCCTTCTTCACTTTGGTCCGAAGGTGGAGGGGGACAGCAAGTACTATGTCGTCGTTGTGTTTGTGCTGTGGGGTGGCTTTGCCGGCCTTTGCCAGAACTTTATGATGCCGCTGATGTTCGAGTACGTTGTGGAGTTGACCTTCCCCATGGCGGAGAGCACGTCGGCGCCGGTGCTGACGTGGAGTGCGTGCCTGACCAACTTTTTGCTGACGCTGATTTTCGGCGAGGTGCTCGGCAACAGCCCGACCGAAAAAGAGGCGCTGCGCACGTTCATTGGCGCCACCGTCGTGTCGGTTATCGGCTGCATCGCGCTTCTCCTCACGAAGCCGCTGACGAAGAGGATGGACTACGAAAAGCAGCAAATCGAGCTGCTCGAGCAGCGCAAGCTGCGGCTGCAGACCGCTGCGGATGCGGCGATGGGCGGCACGGAGGTGACTCGCAGAGATGCAACCGGCGTCAACGGGAGCGGGTTGCATCACGAAGTGCAAATGGAGAAGAGCGCTGACCCCGCTGCTGCTGGTGGTGCCGTCGAAAACGGAAAGGAGTTGTAAAAGAGAGGGGAGTGGGGGTGGAGAGGGCGCGCATCCACGATGAACAGCAGCTATCCCCGACAAGTCACATAGAGGAGAAAAGGCGTTGCACGCTCTTTACCTCCTCTTCTATTGTTGTTATTATTGTTATGTTTAGTGTTGTCAGCATTTTTCGTTCTCCCTCTCATTCTCTCCTCTTTTCCTCTTTCCTTTTTTTTTTCTCTTTGCTCTTTTATTGTCCGTGCGCAGAAGAATTCGGAATTTGTCGGCTCCGCAGATTCATCTTCACTCTTTTGATGATTGTTGTTGTTTATTATTGTTTTACGTCTACGCCTTGCTGGTCGGCCAGTGCGGATCCTAGACAGAAAGCGCCAGCACCGCTGTTTGATGGCGAACAGCAGTAATTCTATTAATACTGTTCTTTCCTTTTTCATCGAGGGAAAATAAAATTATATCGTTAATCCTTCAATTAAAATACCGCTAAAAACTAAACATCCACAGACGTAACAATTCGGCAACTTGAGAGCGAAGCGGGGTTTTTTTTTTGTTTTTATCTTTTTCATGGGCGTCGCCATTCGTGTGTGTGTGTGTGTGTTTCGCTCCTCTTTTCGCTCTGTCTGTGCGTGCGTGCGTGCGTCAGTTCGTCAGTTCGTTTCTTTGTTTTTCTGTTTGGTGTTGAAGTTGCTGATGACGTTTGTTTTATTCTTCGCCTCGTCTCCTCCTCCATTCGACTTTATCATCCCTTTTGTTTTCTCCTTTTTTCTTCTGGCGGTGGCGGTCTCTTCGCGCATCAGCGTGCAGCGGGTAACAGCTGCACTCGGGTCAGCGCAGTAAAGGGAAAAAAAGGAAAGTCAAAGAGGAGAGGAGAGGGAGGAGATCCTGAGTCAGCGAGTGTGCGAGTAAGAAGAACGCTCAAAAAGCTCCCTTCCGCGTCTTATTCGTATTCTTTTTTATTTATTATTACTACTAATTTTCATCTGTTTCTCTCTCTCTCCACTTTCGCGGTTGGAACGTAATTCTTGGTGGAGTTTGCCGTGTGTTGTTCTTGCATTATCTGTTTTCTTCGAGGGGAGGGGAGAGAGGCATGTTTCGTGAGTTGTATATATATATATATATATATATATATCTCCCGATAGCGAAGCAGAACATCAGGGGAAGCCTGCCAAGAGAAAAATAACGGAATCTACATGTTAACTTCTTTTTTTTTTATTGATCGTGAGCGCCAGGTGATATTCCCTCTCTCCCTCCCTCCTTCCCTCTCTCCCTCCCTCCCTCCCTCCTCCTCCTCCTCCTTTCTGTTTGCCGCGGTGATTCGCTTTCTAAACATTTCTTCGCTGTAACAAGATCATTGCCCTTCTGTTGAGCTCGTTGGTTGTTGCGGTGCGCCTCCTCCTTTCATCTTGTTTGTCTTCCTTTTTCTTTATTTTTCCTTTCCTTCTTCGTCTTCTTCTCATTTGATTCAGCAGTACATCAGCGTAGAGGCACTCACCTCTTCTTCTTCTTTGTTGATTTTTTTTTTGAGAAAGGGGTAACTGCACGCTGCGTTGCCGCCTCCACGTTCGTGAATTCAAGTTCGAATGTCTGCCGTGTTTCTTATGCGTTTTTTATTATTACTATTATTAATTGCTTATTGTTGTTGCTGCCGTGGTGTGAATGAGAGGGCGGAGCGATCCTGCACGTTACAAGGCCGGTAAGCGGGCGTCCCGCTCGCACAGCGCCGAACTGCCTTGTTCGCTGCTGTGGTGGTGGTGGTGGGTGCTATGTGGAGCAGCGTAGCTGCTATCAGCGTTTGAAACGAGAACAAAAAATAGACTCCGTACAAGGAAAAGTACGTACACTGAGAATACGAATTGACAACGAAGGCAGTCTTGAATATCTTTTTTGTCTGTTTTCTCTTCTGCAGGTTCTCTCCCTGATTGCGTCTGGATGTCGCCACCGGTCCTTTGCACGCCCGACTGTGTAGTACCAATATTGTTACTGTTTTCGTTTTTTCCCGGAAAGACGCCACTTGTGGGTGTCGCGTGGTATTCTGTGTTCTCTTCCTTCTGCAACTCGACCCTCACTCCTTCCTTCTCCCTGCTAAACTATCTTCTGTGCCTTCTCGCGCGACGCATGTCTCTTCAATATATACAGAAGGACATCTTCTTTTAATCGTTGCCTCTTGGTATCATCAACACCGTCATCTCGAAACGGCCTGTGTGTGCGCGCCCGCTGCTGCGTCACCCCGCGTTACTCTGTGTGCGCGCTTGATCTTTACAGTGATACTCGTGTTTGTTTTCTGCTTTGCCTCGTGCGTGTTATTCCTCCTCTTTTAAACTCAGATACATCCTCTCATAGACGCAGACACGCTCCCCTACACGTATTCGCATTGGCACAGAAACCCCAAGGAAGAAGAAGAAACAAGGTACACACAGTGTATCTCCTTCCGCGGATCACAGCACACCCTCTGCGGGACGTGATCGCTGCTCTTCGCTGTTGCTCTCTAGGCCACCATTTTTTTTTTGCGGAGGACGACACGGAAGCTTCTTACCGACACGCCTTTCCCCTTCTGACAGACAAACACAGATTCATACGTGCGTATATATATATATATATATCCTTTGATTTCGTGTGTGTGTGTCTTTCCATTACAGTTATCCATAAGCAGCGCTCTTTCTTGTCTTTTTTCTTATTGGCTCAGAGGAGGAGTCTGTCCGCATCGGCGCGAACTCCGCCAGATCCTCTTTCCCTTTTCCCCTCTTCTTTTCCGCCTTGTACTCCTCCAGAGACGCCCTTCCCCGATGCCGCGGCTTCACGCCTCCCACCGCCGCTTCGCGCAGACGCCGCTGCAGAACACCGCAGAAGCGACAGGTCGCACCGGCAACGGCCAGTTGGTGTTGACGGCACCGCCACCGCCGCCGCCGCAGCGGCAGCAGCAGCAGCTCGAGGACCGCAACAGACAGCATTCACGCCCTCTACGGAAAGGCGGTGGTGCTCTCGCGGAAGAACATCAGCAGCAACAGTTATCCCGAGTCGATATTGTGGCAGAACCACACGACGCGAGCTGTTGCTTCTTTGCAGAGGTGGAAGGGACGGCGGATCGGCCTCTGCGTCGGGCAGAGTTCTCCGGGCCGGGTAGCGTGGGAGACGACGATGATGCGACGACCACCACCGCCACGGTGGCCACTGCACGCATATTGGAAAGCCTATTTGCGGAAGAGGGTGGAGGGAGAGAGGAAGCCAACGCGCCGACTTCTCTGCCTTCCATAACGGCCTCTCCCACCAACAAAGGCGGCACCAACACCGATCAGCAGACGAGTGTGGGCCGTCACGGTCTCCCACGACGACGCGTGCGGCCCACCGCCACCATCATCGCGAATACGTTCACTACCGGTCTGCAGAACAGCAACGACAGACACAGCAGCGGCAAGCGCAGCACTGATGACTGGCAACGATCGTCGAGTGAAGACGCTGAGGAGGAGGAGGAAGAACTCTTTGCTGAAGGAGTGGTCGATGGGCGCGCGGCGCTTCTCCCCAGTGCTCCCTGTGCTACTCTTGCTGCTGCGCCACACGCACACGCGGGCGCTGCGCCCGCCCTCTCCGATACCTCCAACTCCCCCGCACGGGAGGGCGGCCACGACGACGAGCCGATGGCGGATCGACCGTGTGCGCTGTCACAGCTACGAGCACCACCAGCTGCGGCAACGTCTCACTGCGTCGCTTCCGCCTCCATCATCACTGCTCCGTCAGCGGAGATGCGAAGAGAGGTGCCTCCGGTAGCGGATCGGAGAGTTCCGCTGGCGGAAGAGGAGAAGCGTCAAACCGGCTGGAGGTGCACGACGACGTCGCTGATCTCGGGCAGCTCCTGGCGTGTGCACGTGTGGGTGCCACGGCGGGTGGAAGCATTATGCGAGCCGGCAAGGAGGACGGCGACCTCTTCACCTTCCTCCGCTGTTCCTCCTCCCCCTCTTCTACTCCCCGCCACTGGGGAAGCAACTGGAAACGCACAGCGCGGTCCACAGCCGGTCATCTGGCGACGTCCGGACTCGCCGCATCTCCACCCGCAGCGCACGGTCGAGCACGCAGCTCTCCACGCCGCGCCCTCCCCGCTGTCGTCGACGCAGTGGTGCGTAACGGCATTCGAGGTGGTGGAAGTGTGTCTGTACACGGCGGATTGCCTTCACACAAGATGCCGTGTCCGCGACACTCCCAGAAGCAGCAGCAGCAACAGCAGTAAACAGAGCACCAACAGTGAGTCGGACGAGCCGTTGAGGAGCGACGACGACGATGACGATGACAGCGGTGGCGACGCTGCGGTCCCGACCGGGGTGCCGGAAGCTTCACGAGTACCCCTGTCCGCTACAACCTATCGTCAGACCTCCCCTCCTCCTCCTCTCCACTATCGCGGTTGTCAGGTTGGGTATAGAGGCGCGCCCACTACGAGCAGAGAAGGGCGGGTGGAGGAGGAGGAGGAGGAAGAAGCGGCAGCGGCGGCAACGGGAGGTGGAAAGCGCAGTAGAGCAATTGTAGGCTGTCAACGTCCTCAGCGCGCCAGCAGCAGCAGCAGCGGCAACGATCGCCGTGTCCGCCGCGTCGAGCGCGGAGGTGGCTGTACTCTATGCAACGCAGCTCAACCGCACGCCGGCGGAGGAGAGGGAGGAAGTCGAGTCAACACTTTCTCATCCTCTTCATTGTCTCCTCCTCCCCCTCCTTCGTCTTCTCCGCGCAATTCGGCGTGGGTGCCGCTACGGGCAAAGCTTGCCACCGACATACGCATTACACTGTCTTGGCTTCTGCACGCGTGCACGCTACCGCCGCTCGCCTCAACGATGCTGACGCGCTGCGTCGAAGCGTATATTAACACTTGTGTGGTGGTGGCGGTGGTGGGAGGGCGGCAGGCAGCGGCGACAACAGCGCCGTCCAGCACGCCACCAACGACGTCGCACGAGCACGCGCCATCGTCTTCTTCCTCTGTCTTCTCTCCTCCATCCTCGCCGCAGCCGGTGCCTTTTTGGATCGCTGCCTTCGCCTACACGCACGACATCCAATCCCGCGCCACCACGTTCGCGTCGCGTCTTTTGCACGAAGCGGATGTCGCCCCCGCAGCGGTGTTGAACTCTTCGAGCAACAAAACGGCCAGCACGACACCGATCAGCAAACCTCCGCCACAAGGAGCTATCATGCGTTCGCAGCGCTCGCCGCCGTCGGCTGCCACGGAGACGGTGACGTGCATCCTTTGGCCGCATTGGGTGCCCGATGTGCGGTGGAGTACCCAGGTCTTGACGGCGTTGATGTCTGCTGCGTTTGTGTTGATCAACGACGTGGCGCAGGCGCTGACCATCGCGACAACATCCGCGGCAACGCCGGAACAGTTTGGAAAACATGCTGATGCTGTTTCCTCGTCTACAGCAGACGGCCGTCGCGGACACTGCACCATGCTGTGCGAGTCTGGTCCTGGCATGACGCCTCTCGCCGCGGCATCGTCACCTCTGGCGGCACTCCTGCGCCGCTTACACGAGTTCCACGTCTTCTGCGATATCGTCTTCGGCGATGCGGAGAATAAGAAGCTGTGTCGACACGTGCGAGATCGGCTGCCGGTGCACATCAGCGATCTGAGTGAACTGCTGAGCCGCCCGTGGTGTCAGACAGAGTTTTCGACAGAAGCAAAGACGAAGTCGGCGACGGAGACGGCGGAGGCGACGCGGACAACGGGTGGAAAGCGCGCCTCTCCCCCATTCGATGCGTCAACGACCGCTGACGAGGACGGTTATCATCGCACGCACGTCTTCCACCCACCGATACCGCCGTCTGCGTGTGATGTGGGCAGCGGACAGGCGCGTTTGGCGTGTCCTCCGCCTCTCGCCGCCGCCGATGGGAGTTCTCGTACGCGATTCACATCATCATCAACGGCGGCGCCTCAGACGTCTGCCACACGATGGCCGTCTGTGCTCGACCTCGTCCATCACCTCGCCCACGCGTGGATGCGGCAGTGCTTTCCAACCCTGGCAAGTGACCTGCAAGCTTTCTTAATCTCGCACGATCCCGGTGTCATGGTAGATGAATGGAACCGCAGGGGAGACGGCAACAACGCACCGCCCGAGAGGGGTGGGGTCGACTGCGTTGCCGCTTCCACGAGCACGCAAGCACGGAACATCAGGAACGACGCGGCAGACCGACGGGCGTGTGCTGACGGTGCGCAAACGAAGCTCTTCACTGCAGCATCACCACAGGATGATCTCCACGACCGCATGTACCGATGCATTCACGACTTTGTGCAGGGAGTGCTGCATCGCTGGGGGCGGTGGTACGACACATCCGGCGCGGCATCGGCAACGGCACCGCGCTTGCCTTCTCCGGCTTTCGGTGTGTCGCCGGCGAAGGCCGCAACGTGTGCGTACGGCACCGATTTGCAGTGGCGCGCCCACGTGAACTACGCCACAATGCAGTCGCTGCAGTGGCTTCTCCTCCGTCAACGCAGCCGGCTCTGCGTGCCCAACGCTCTCGAAGCCGACTCCGGCAGCCCCACAAACCCGTCTGCGGTCGTCGTGGCAGATGTAAAAGCGATGCTGGAGCAGCTGACTCTTCTCCCTACGCTGTTTGGAACTGTCTTGCGTTCGCAGGAGATACGTAGCGGCCTGCGGTGTGCATGCGCAGAAGTAGCAGCGACGGCGGCAGAGAAGTTAACGGCGCCGCACAGCGTGGATGACAGCAGTGACAGCTTTCACGCGTGCTTTCGGTTGTTTTGGGGGATGGTCTGCTACGGCGCGTCGATGCTGCAACATGAGGATGTCGTTGATCTTCTCTGCGCGTTGCCGCAGCCTTCCTTCTCGCCGGCGAGCTCCTCTACGCCTCGCCTTTCCAAGCTCCACGATGGCTCCGCAAGCGCGGTCACCGCCGGGACGCAGCGGCAGCGGCAACGGCTGGCGTGTGCTATGGAGACCGCAGGTGGGGTTTGGAAGGAGTGGATTCTGCCGTTGCTGGCACGCTACTTCGAAGGCAGCCGCAGCACGGAGCGCCACGACAATGCGGGAGAGCACGCCGAAGGTGAAGTCGCGGAGGCAAATGCCGCCGACACGCACGCGGAAGCCGCGAGGCGAACGGAGGCGTTCACGCCACCCGCCCCGTTGGCCAACGCCGCCTGCTCTTCTCCTCCGCGCCCCGCCTGCAGCGCCCTCGACGTGGCGGATCAAATGGTGATGTACGCACTCACCCTTCTCCGGCAAATCCGCGATGCGCAGCGGGGTGTCGCGACGGGCACACGAACACCACGATCGCCACGAGCAACAGCAGCAGCAACAACAAGCACAACCACGCCGTCCGTTACGTCCTCTCGCAAGCGACACCGTCACTGCTCCACCTCCGCCTCCTCCTGCACAACGAACCGTCGGCATCAACGCAGCTTTCCGCGTCGTCGTGTTTGCGGCAGCGGCGACATCGGTCTGATGAGCCACGCAGGTCAAGGTGTGTGTGTCCGTCCCTGTGGCGAAGACGGAGAGGTGGACAGCAGCTCCTTGTGTTCGCCGCGCAGTGTGTCGTCGAGCGCCACCTTCTCGACCGCAACGGCGACAACGACGGTGGCGTCCTCGCTGGCGCGCCACAACCAGTCCAGCTGCATCGGCGGCTGCGGCATCGACACGAAAGGCCGCACCACGCCGAACGCAGCAGGCAGTGGTGAGGGAGCTGCTACGCAAAATAGCTTGGCGGAGAGAGCGACCGGCGCGGCAGCAGCGGCGGACGGAGCTGCGTCTGCGATGCGTGTTGCGGGAGAGAAGACGAGAGCCGCACCCGAGCCGCGGCGCAGCTCCGCATGGGTCATCCCCTCTCTTCGGTGTTTCACAAATCGGAACGACACGCACGCTGCACACCCCGACGTCCGCCGTGACGCTACAGAATTGTCTCATCATCCTTTACCCGCCTCTCGTACGACGTCTCCGGTGGAGCCTGACTGGCGCGACGTGTGCCGCGTGGTGGCGCATCAGTGGATGTCACGCCCCTCTCCATGTTCGCCACAGAATATGTTTCCACACAGCACGACACCGCAAAGCAGTAACGGCAGCGTTGGGCACGTCATTCACCGTCGTGATGTTCGCTTCACCCGTGCATTTTTGCTGTGTCTGCGGCAATGCATCCAGCAACTTCAGGAACAGCAGCAGCAACAACAAGCAGACCAAGATCAGCAGCAGCAGCGGCAGCGCGAAGGAGAAGAGGACGGTGCGCAGACGCACGCGCACGGCCATCTGAGCGGTGACGACAATGCCCATCACCACCACAGCAGCGGCTTCCGCTCCTTTTATGATTACCTTTACGGAGTTCTACCGCCGGGGCTGCGCGCTGAGGAGGGCGGTGTGATGGTGCTGGAAGTTGCGTCATCGTCGTCGTCGCCGCCGTCTTCTTCTCCCTCGCTCTCTCCGATTTCGAGTCTGCTGAGGAGAGGGGCCGGTGCACAACGAGTACAGCACAGCATCCGGCGACGCGCGGGTCGGCGACGTCATCCGCGGAGACTCCACAGCACTCATCACAATCATGATGATGAGGTGTTACACCTGACGAGCACCGATTCCTTGTCCGCTGACAGCCAGAGCAGCGCCGACTCTGCCAAAGCAACGATAACAGAAGGCGCCGACGACGACGAAGGACAGGATGGGCGCGGGGGTGCCCCGGATACCGCTGCGTCGTCGCTACGGACGCCCTCCTCCTCCACGACCTTCGTCTCCTCGCTGTCCGCGCCGTCCCCGTCGACGCCGTGCTCTTCGGACGGTTAGCGATGGTGTCCAGACGGGGAGACGTACGTCGTGTGTGTGCGTGTGTGTATGTGTGCGTGCACTCCGTTTTCTTTCATCCCCACGCTCTCCCCCACGCCGCAACTCCTCTGTGAGTTGGTATTTTGGTTGTTTTATTATCATTTTTAGGGGTCTTCGTCTCCTTTCCACCTCCATTCTGCTCCTGCATATTTATTTTGCTGTTATTTGTTGATGATGACTTCTTATTCCCCTCCCCCTCTCGCGCTCTCTTTCTGAAGCCTCCTCCGGTCTGGGCCGCGCACGTGTGTGGGTGGTGGAGACGCTCGACGAGCTTCTACTACAGTTTTCATGAAGGGCAGAAGGAAAGCGGCGCAGACGGCGGCAAATAAATCTTGTTTTTTTTTTTCATGGTCTGTTCTTAAACTCATACTACTGCTACACCTCACCGCTTCAAATACATACATACATATAATAATAAAAGGGAAAAACACGATATTTTACCGAGTACGGAGACGGCGATGTACGAGGCTTTGCGTGCGTGTATCTGCTCTGTCTCGTTGAACAGTACGAAGTTTCGTTGGCACTCCTTCCTGTGCATGCGTAGCTGCGGTGTAACCTCTTTCACTGCTACGGATGATCGGAAGTTAAAGGCTGCGGGCCCTTCCCAGTCCTGCTTCCTTCGAACCCTATTTCTTTGCTGTTGTGGTGGTGGTGATTGTTGCTGGTTGTTTTACTGAGACGTTTTGAACCTCCTTCTCTCCCGCTCTCCGTCCTCGTTGATTCTCCTCCCCCTCATCGTTCGCGTTCACTAAAACTCACATGCGCGTACATTGGCACGTGTATTTTTGTTCGATAGATTGGGTGTCTCCCCTCTCTCCCTTTCCCCACTTTTTACGCAGTGATGTCGACCGAGTCCCTCGCCTGCACCTACGCGGCGCTGCTGCTGCACGACGCCGGCGTCCCGGTTACCGCCGACAACATCTCGGCCGCCGTGAAGGCCGCCGGTGTGGAGGTGCGCCCGACGCTGCCCATCATCTTCGCCCGCTTCCTCGAGAAGAAGTCGGTGGACTCGCTCATGGCGGCCGCGGCGGCCGTGGCGCCGGCGGCGGCGGAGGCTCCTGCGGCTGCGGCCGGCGGTGCTGCCCCGGCTGCCGGCGGCAAGGCCAAGGAGGAGAAGAAGAAGGAGGTCGAGGAGGAGGGCGACGACGACATGGGCTTCGGTCTGTTCGACTAAAGCGGCTCGTTACGTCATCTCTTCCTTCATCGCTCCCTCTCTCGACCTTGTCTTTCTTCAATGATGTGGGTCTCGAACTGGGAGGAGGGCACCGCGACACGTACCCTGCAACACCACGGACAACGAAATTCTCTCGGTCTCGATGCACGAAGCGCGTGATGGCCACCCACACAAAAACAAAAAGGGGAGGGAAGGAAATAAGAATACGCACGTGCGTTGTGGAGCAGCAGACCTCCTCGTTCTCCCTCATCACTGCGCGCTGTATCCGTGCTTTGTCGTTGGTGTGTTTCTCACTGGAGCGTTCGGAGAAGACGCCGTGCGTGTGTGCGGGGTGCGTGTGCGAGTACATTCATCTTTGACGTTTATCATTTTATGTTGTTGTTTATTTCTATTATTATTATTTATTCGGTGTGATCGCTCTCGTTTTGTAGGAGTCATCGTTTCGAAGTAAAAACAATAATAATAATATATAGAAGGAAGGAGGAAACGACGGCTCGAAGGGTAACTGAAGAGCTGTCGAGGTAAGGGAAGTACACATCCCACGTCCTGTGCCGGTCATCGCCCTTGCTGCAGTTAATATTTCAGGTGCTGTTGCTGCTGCTTTTCATGGTTCACAAGAGAAATCCATGAAGCGTTGGCATTCCCTATTGTAGCTGTTTGCAGCAATACGAGCGGTCATCGACACTTCGTAGGAGTTGCCACCGCATCCGTGAGCTCCCCCACTTCCCACGTTTGTTCTTTATCTAGCAGGCTGTGTATCCGCTGTCTATCACCTTCGCTGCCTCTCTCCCGCTCTCCCTCTCACATTATTGATTACCGTCGTGTGTTGTTGGTGGTGATTGCATGTTCATATATTATTCCAACGTTGCTGCAACTCTTTTGCTGCTCCCGCTGCGCTGCTACGCCCCACTGTATTCTCGTCATAATCTGTTGTGTGTGTGCGCCGGACTCCTTACGAAGCAACATCATCACAAGATCGAGATACTCTTGCTTCTCCATCTCCCCTCACCCCCTTTCCCGACTTTTTACGCAGTGATGTCGACCGAGTCCCTCGCCTGCACCTACGCGGCGCTGCTGCTGCACGACGCCGGCGTCCCGGTTACCGCCGACAACATCTCGGCCGCCGTGAAGGCCGCCGGTGTGGAGGTGCGCCCGACGCTGCCCATCATCTTCGCCCGCTTCCTCGAGAAGAAGTCGGTGGACTCGCTCATGGCGGCCGCGGCGGCCGTGGCGCCGGCGGCGGCGGAGGCTCCTGCGGCTGCGGCCGGCGGTGCTGCCCCGGCTGCCGGCGGCAAGGCCAAGGAGGAGAAGAAGAAGGAGGTCGAGGAGGAGGGCGACGACGACATGGGCTTCGGTCTGTTCGACTAAAGCGGCTCATTGTGGCAACCCCCTCTTTGTCTTCTGTTGATGTAGTTGCTACTCACCGCACCGTTCTTTTCTCTCTGTTGGGTTATTAAGGAAAAGAAAAAAGGAATTGCATTTCCAGCTTCGTCTCTGCCGAGTTAACCGCGGATGCGGAGGACGCGAATGCGCAGATGGGGAGCCCACTTTCTCGTAGCGCAGCGGCCGGCGTTGATTCTGTTTTTGGTTGTTGCCGTACGCTTCAACTGTGCCGCTGCACGACGCATGTCGACTGTGCTTCCACACTCGCGTTCTTTTTCGTTTCTTCTGCCCAACGAGTGGGGGTGGGACGGTGCGTGTGGCAGCGACCGCTCTTCTTCGATACAATTGTTTTGTTTACCCCTCATTTGGTACTTTCAATCTTTAAAAACACCAACACCCATAAAGAGATTCGTAGGGCCCCTCAGCTGCAGCCGTATTTATTTCGCTGCTGTTAGTCTCTGGAGGGGTGGGGATTCAATCGCCGGCGTGAGTTGCCTCGACATGGTGCAGCCGCCGGTACGCGAGGTGAGTGTGTGTGGGGTGAGAGATCATCTCCTCTCTTCATACACACACACACACACACACACACGTATATCATTGTTGTTTTCACGAGCGCATATCCGAGCGGGGCAACAGCTGCCACTCCGGCACCTATCCCCTTGTTGATGCTTGTTTGTTCCCACTGCTGTCCTCTCCTCTATTCCATCTCGTCTCCCTTTCATTGGCCTTCTTCTTTTGAATTCCAATACGTCTGCATGGGTCTCGGATTTTTGCTGTTCAGTTTATGCATAGGTGACGTCGGCGCAACCGATTTCCAGTGCTCTGCCTCGGCTTATCTGCCTCTTGCGGTTTCCCCGTTGCTCTGTGTGCGCGTGTGTGCTCTACTGTGGCTCTCGCGTGGGATCTCCCGACAAACGTTTAGCTTCATATACAGACATATATACATATATTAAGCCTCCGTTGCAACCTGCAGGCCGCAGAGTCCTCCTCTCTCCCTCTCCTCTCTCCCTCTCTCTCTCACGCTTTGCTTGCTTTGTTTTTTGGTTCTCCTCAACAAAAAACGAAGAATTCAAACCGACGTTGTGCACTTAGCCAGCTTCGTCTTCGCTTCTCCCCTTCGCATTTCTTTGTTTTGAAAAACTTGTGTTTGCTGCCTTTCTACCGCCGGCGTCTGCTTTGCGGAACGTTCTCGTTAGTTTTCTTTGGGATTCATTTGCTGATGGGGTTTCTTCTTACTGTTCTTATTATTCCTATATCATTGGACGTAGCCGTGTGTTGCTCGGGCACGCCGATTTCAGCGTCTGACCGCGGCTTTCCACACCGTCTTTTCTTCTTTCTTTCTATCGCTGTCGCTGCCTCGCATCGCAACTGAGTACACTCCCCGCACAGCTGAACACAAGAACGACCCAGAAAGGACGAAGAAAATTAAAAGCATGGAGCTTTCTGCGTCCTCAACTCCAGCAGCAGCAGCAGCGGCCGCCGCCGCCGCAGCGTCTTCCTCCTCTGACAACTCTCCTGCATCCCCCGTCAGCCCCACCGCTCCTCTCACCGACACCGCCCTGCTGCAGCTATCTTTGCAAAATGCAGCGGCGGCCGTCGCAGCCGGCAGGGCCACCGTCGCCGCCAACAACTACGCCCTGGTCGTGAAGATCTTCTTCCGCAAGTGCTTCTTGCTGGAGGAGCTCGTCCTGCTGGGGCTCGCGATGGGCTACGAAACGCACAGCTCCGCCCAGCAGGCACGGCTGCGCGAGCGCGACAACATGGAAGGAGAAGAAGGAGAAGAAAGCGAGGCGGAGGCGCAACAGCAGGGCGGTGCCGACGCTGGCGGCGACCCGCGTGCCGCACACACGCCGCTGCAGCCATCACAACCGCATTTGTTGTTGCCCGCCGTGGACGTGGACGCCGCGCAGAGGCAGCAAAAGGCGGGGGGCGTCGTCCACACGTCGGGCGGCGAGCGCTCCGCGCAGCTCGTCGATCCGCTGGCGAGCGTCGGCATGTTTTTGCCTCCCGGTCTGGCCGAGGACGACTACGATGAAGAGCGCAACTACTACGCGCAGAAGCGGCAGCATCAGGAAGAGCTCGCACACGGCTGCCTGCCGTCGCAGCAGCGACAGCGGCAGTCATCATCATCCGCAGCACAGAAGCCTCTGCCGCAGTTCCCACCTGGTGCGGCCACCTCCTCGTTTGCAAAACAGTACAGCACCGCTGCAGCCGCTGCTGCGGCTGCGAAGAGCGCTGGCAGTCCGGTGGACGACGTGCCCGGTTACGACGCATCAACGGCGCGGTGGCTGGCGTGTTTGCTTGCGAAGGTGCACCCTGATGCCCTGCCCATCGCAACGCTGGAGAAGCTGTGCAAGGTGCAGATCCCATCGCGTACGCCAAGTGAGCTCGCAAACGACAGCAGTGGACGCTACACGACATCGTTTGCTGCCTCGCCGACGTCCGCGGTGCGCGGGGCACACGAGAACAACAGCAGCTTAAACTTTCCAACCTCCTCTTCATCTGCTATTGCTGCTGCTGCATCGTCGTCAGCCGGGATGAGTGTCTTCTCCCCCAGCAGCACGGCTGCCCTGGCGAGGTTGATCCCTCACCTCAAATCGTCACCCACGAGCTCCTCGCTGTGCGGCAACAACAACAACGGCACAGCATCACCGACCGTGTCTACCACCGCCACGAACTCCCCCACGATGAACCGCAACGACACGACGGCCACCGCCAGTGTCTTCGGCACGTCGTCCTCCTCGTCGCTCTCCCTGCTCTTCGCTACGCTGCTGTGGGATGTGGCGTGTGCGCTGTGGAACGAGGGATTTGTGGAGGACACGCACCACTGGCTGTCCGTCATGGACGTGCGACGGCTGTGGAAGCTCTACGGCGACTCCTGCATGGCGGCCGCAGGGCCCGAGACGCCTCCAAACGCGTCGGGCTCTAACAGCCTCGATGCAACTCGTGTGATGTCTCTCGGGGCGAACAACAACAATAATAGTACTAACGGTGGTGGAGGAGGACTCATGACTGCGTCGTCGCTGCACACGGCCTCCACGTTGTATACTTCCATGGAGCCACACGAGGAGGGTGTCACGTGCGAGGAGCGCGCGTGTGCGCTGAGTTGGCCGGCGGTGCTGGCGGAGTGCCGAGCCGCAGACGAGTCCTCGTCGTGCAGCGCGCCTTCGTCAGCACCTCCACCACCACCACCGCTGAGGCAGCAGCAGTCATCGTGGTCTGCTACGCCCCCTGCCACGCATCCCACGGACACGCGCAACAGCGCGAATACGCAAGCAACGGAGCCGCACGAGGCGAAGACGGCCGATGTAGCTTCACCTTCACAGCAGGAGCAGCAGCGCCAACAACAAAGGCAGCTGTCTCGCCCACGGTCAGGTATTACGCTGTCGGCCTTCGCCAGCACCCCAGGGCCGCTGCCCATGACGGTGCCGACAAGTGGCGTGAACGACGCCTCGGCCTGGCCGGATGAACCAGCAGGGAGCAAAGACACAGGAGACGGTGCGACTGCCTTGAAAAATATGGGCGACGGAGGAGCGGCAGTGGCGACGGAGAGAAGCAGGGGCGGCGCCGGTTCCCGCGTCGCGCGCAACGAGCAGGGGGCTCTGCACGAAGGTGTTCTGTCGGGCGGCGAGGATGATGGCGGGCAGCAGTCAAATCAACGAGAGCACGAAGAAGATCGGAAGCGCGGAGAGGTGGAAGAAATGGATCGCTCATCGGGAAGCTCGGCGACGGCGACCCACGCGGGAGCCACCGCCACGCAGCCTCACGCTATTCCGATGTTTGTCCGCCGCCTTGCACGGCGCACGAGTGCCCTGCGAGATCTCTGCGGGCTGATGATGGGCTGTGAGACGGCCGAGGACGTCTTGTACGTTATTTTCGCCCTCCACTGCGCCTTGCAGACGCAGCAGCGGAAGATGGACCAACTGCTCGCACAACAGCAGCAGGAGGCGGATAAGCGCAGGAGCCACACGAAAGCCACCTCGTCGGCAACGCCCACCACCACCACCGTCAGCGGCGGACTTGCCGAGGTGTTGGTCGTGGCCAACCTGCTCGTGGAATTCTTCCTGGCGAAACGCGCGCAGAAGATTCTGCTGGAAGCCGGTCTGCTGCCCTCCCAGCTCTTGTCTGCGGTCTCCCCGGGAGAACAGCAGAGCACAGCAGCAGCAGCAGCAACAGCACGCCCACTCCCGCCTCGCACACCGCGGGGCGAACACACCCATCGCATGGACCGCGCCATCCGGCAGGCGTGCGACGAGGTCGTCTGCGCCTTCACGAACGGGCAGTGTCTGACGCTCTACGGCCTGGAGTCCTACGGCATCCCGACACCGCACGACCGCAATAACAACAACAACAACGGCGGTGGTGGCGGTGGTGGCAGTCGCGAAAAGGGAAGCGCGGTGCCACTGCTGGTGCCGGAGCTGCCGTACGTGCTGGTCAGCAACGTCCTCAGCAGCGCCTTGAACTTTGCCACCTTGTATCGCCTGAGTAAGGTATTTCATGGCGTGATGGGGGTGCGTAGTAATAGTAGTAGTGGTGGCGGTAGTGGTGCGGGCGGCAGGGCTGATCAGGCGGCCCAGTGTTCCGCGTGCCAGCCGACCACCCCGGCGCCCTCGCCGGCGAGCGTGTTCATGCATGTAAACCGCACACGCAAGGCAACGGAGGAGGAAAAGCTACGACGGCAGCGATGGACACGCGGAGCGCCACCCGGGCAGCCAGCGGCACGCTCGCCCCATCCCCAACCCACTCCACAGCAGCAGCAGCAGCAGCAGCAGCAGCAGGGTTCTGCACAGAGTGTGGTGGGTGAACTTTTCGGCTTCATGAAGGGCGCAGCCGCGAGTTGGCGCAACGCTACCAACTTCGTGCACCCAACGTCCGCGGAGGCGGAGGCGCCGACGGAGACGCCGGTGGCACGACCGGCCCCCTCGCCGCGGCACGACGTGCGGCCTTCGCGGATCGATCCGGAGTTCTTTGACGCGCCGCCGTTGTCGTCGTCATCGTCGTCTGCGGCGGCGGCGGCGGCGGCGGGTCATCTCGGCGGTGGTTATGCGGAGCGGTTGGCCAACGCACGCCGCGTGCACGCGGAGAGGATAGCAGCGGCCGATCGCACGTACGAGTTCACGCCGTGGTCGGCGCTGTCGCCAGACACTGTGACGAGTAACAACAGCAGTTTGGCCAACGCAAGTAGCATCAGTAAGACCGGCAGTAATTTAAGTCCCGGTACGCGCCACAGCAGCACCGGCGCGCCACGAAAGGCTGTGTTAGAGGTGCAGACGAGCGGACCGGGTGCGTGTGAGCTGCTCGTGCCCTCACGCGCCACAGCGCGCACCGCAGCCAGCAAGAACGACGGTGGCATTATGATCTCTTCCTCTTCCTCTTCTGCGGCCGCGACGGCAGCGGCGGCCGCCAGAGTGAGCAGCTTCCCCATTTCCCTTCTCGCCGAAGAGAGCGAGCGCATGGGGCTGGCCGGGTGGACTCCCCCAACGGCGGGATCCGCCACACCAACGCAGCTCCCCGTGACAGCCACGATGGACACCACCGCCGGGCCAGCCGACACAGTGCTGTACACCCCCTCTGCTCAATTGCAAAGCCGCACCCCGAGCGAGGCCGCCTGCCTGCGCCTTTTGGCTCTCCTCTACCGCTACCCGCAGCTGCACACGCTGGAGCCGATCACGGCGAGTCACGTGGACCTCGTCGCGAAGGAGCTGAACAAGGCGCTTCATATTCTGCAGGTGGCGATGCGCGGCCGATTTGGCGAGCGGTGGTGGCGACAGTGGCGGGCTCGGCGTGAGGGGGAGACGCAGCGGTACTACGCCCGTGCGTTAGCAGATGCGCAGCGCGGCGTGCACGTGCGACGCCGCCTCTCCCCAGCACACTCCACAGGTCTCCTCCACAGCAGCAATCGAGGCGAATCGGCGAACACGGTGGGGGGTTCGCCTTCCGCGTTAGACACCTTGCAGCCACCAGCACCATCAGCAGCAGCAGCAGCGCCTTCCAGCATCACAGACCCGGCGCTGGCGTCCCCGACATCCGCCGGGGTGCCTTCGCCGGTGGAGCCGCCGCCGCTTTCCTCCACCACTGCTGCCAGCACAACTGCAGCAGAAGCAGGAACAACAAACGTGTTGTCGTCCGACCCCTCTCTCGTGTTGCGACACCCCAGCAACGATTCGATGCAGCAGCCTCCGCCTTTCACGCTGCAAATCGACTCTCCCTCCTCCATATTACAGCCACCGCCACAGGAGCTGTCGGCATCGGGTTATAGCTCTGTGCCGCCGCCCTCCGCACCGCAGCCCACGCCGCGGCAGGACCCTGTCTTGTCGAAGTTCTGGAGCACCCGCACGCTGTCCATCCCCACACAGGATGGCATGAAGGAGCGCCGTCAGAACCCGCGCGGGCGCAGCGTGGACCTACTCATCTCCGCCGACGACGACGGGGACCAAGGGGGTGCCGCCACCACCGTCGCAGCGAAAGCGGCACAGTCGTCACTTCGACAGCGGCACACCGAGGCGACGTCGGCGGCCGCGGCGAGTGCGTCGGCCATCGCCTCGACGGAGACGGCCGTGGTGGCCGACGACGGCACGCTGATCGACGTGAATTGGGATGTCCCACCCCACTACACGCCCGACGTCTCGCTGGACTTCTCGGCCTTCACGACCACCTCGGTGGAGACGCAGGAGGCCACCAGGCAGCTCGTGGAGTCGCTGCAGCGCCAGCAGCACGACGCGGATAGCGTGCACGCGAATGTGCCGGGTATCTCCCTGCTCTCCAGCGCCTGCCGCCGTCTCCTGCACGACGAACTACCACTGCTGCAGCAGTACTGTCCCTGGCGTGTGATCTACAGCACCCGCATGCACGGCGTCAGCCTCGGCACGCTGTTCGCGAACTGCCGCCGAGAGAGTGAGCGACACATGCGGCTGCCGAGTGGGTTATTCAGCTTACCGTCGGCGATGGAGACGAGTAGCAGCGGCGGCGGGCCGTCGAGCGCGGACGCGCGGCCGATGCTGCTCGTGTTGGAGCTGCCCGCCTCCACCACCTTGTCCTTCGCTGAGGACGACGCCGGGGTGCGGGAGGCGCTGGCACAGCTGCGGAGGCCCTGCACAGCAGAAAGGGCCGCCACGGCAGCGACGGCAGCCGACTACCACGAGCTTACGCCCTTCAACAAGCTCTACGTTGGTGCGTACCTCTCCGACCTACTGCGACTGGAGTCACGGCGCTACTACGGCACGCAGGAGTGCTTCGTGTTTCAGCTGCTCGTCCCGGCGAGGACGGAGGGGGGCGGGAGTGGTGCATCGGACCCCATCGCAGCAGCAGCGGCGTCAACATCATCAACCGCAGCGCCGCCGCCGCAGCTTCACGTCTTCCACGCCACACGGCAGAACACGCGCTACGTGAATTGCCGTCCGACCTCGATCGTCATCGGCGGTGGCGGCAGCGGCAGCAGCCTGTACGTGGATGACAGCCTGTCGCACGGGGCCACCAGCGCCTGCGCGACCTTCAGCTCGCCGCCGCTCAGCGTGTGGCACAGCGCGGCGGCAACGTTGTGTGAGATAGCGGGCGTGCATCCGCCACCTGCCTCTGCGCAGGCGAGGGAAGAAGACAAGGAAGCGAGCTCTGCCGGCGACGGCGAAGATGGACGGCAGCACAGCCTTTCCTTGTTGAACGTAGAAGTGATTGTCATGGACGCGTAAGAACAGCCAAAGCAAAGCAACGCAGAAGAAGAGGAAAACAAGACACGTCGGAAGGGCAGAATGCCGGCAGGTGCGTTGTGCTCCTCGAGGGCACACGCCGAACAGTGTGTGTTGATTTCCACCTTCTTCTTCTGGGCTATTACCTTTCCTTCTCTTTCCTTTCTTTTTCTAGTTCTCTACCCTGCTACTTCCCTCCGCATTCGAATTGTTCTGTTTCTAAAGAGGAGGCAAATCCCGCTGGCGGCAAAGCGGTATGTGTGCGTGTATGTGTGCGTGTATGTGTGCGTGTATGTGTGTGTGTGTTGCTGCAGACACACTAGACTGACACAACAGTACGTATTTGTTTGGTTGGTTGGCTTTTAGGCCTTTCAATGTATTTCCTGTATCTCGCTCGTTCATCCGTTCGTTCTTTCTTTAAAAACGATTTCTTCTCTTCTGAGTTGTTTCGAGGGATTTTTTTGTGGAGGCGACCCCCAACGGTTCTTGTGCCGCCAATAGGCCGTTGCCTGATCTTCTCCAATATATATATAAAGAAACGATAGTATGGAAGCGGAAGAAGCGTGTGAAACCGGGACTTCTGTTTTTCCTTTCACATCTATCAGCTCCTATTTGTGTGTGATTGATTTTCCCTTCTCTACATTGGCAGATGCTGCTCTTGGCAAGGACGAACCGCGAGGGGGCGAGGACAGCCTCCTTGCGCGCTCTCCGTCTCTCGTGTGACGGTTTGCGTGTTTGCTTTTCCCTTCTGTGCAGCATCAAGGTGTGTGTCTACGCGTGTTCTCACACCCCTGCCTGCTCTCCCAAGCTCTCGCACACACACACACTCACATTCCTCCTCATCATATTTTTCCTTCCTCTTCTCGTCCCTTCACCCTTCTTGCCAATTCCTCGGCCCCTCCTCTACAGTCATTTCCATAATACCGATAGAGTTATATAAAAGCCTGTGTGTGTGTATATACATACACACATCCCAATACAGTGATTACAAGGACATATACTTATCTGTTTCCTTATAACTGAAAAAAGAAGAAAAAAAAGACGTTAGCAGCTCTGTGAGACGTCTCGTCGTGGATTTTTCTGTTTCGAAATCAGACTGGGTGATTATTCGATTACTTTGTTTGTTATTATTTATTTATTTAGAAGAACAGTAATATTCGCCTCAACGTCTCCCGCTGCCGCCTCGCCTTCTTTCTCCTCCTTTCCTTTCACTCTCCTTGTCTGATTATTATTTTTTTACTGATCGTTGTCGTAATCGAAGTCAGACACGGCACACGCGGGGGAAGAAGAGCGAAGAGGAGAACACACAAGATCAGCAGGAGGTAACTGAGGTTTGATACGCCCTGTTTTGGTGGAGTTCTTATCTCTTCCCCCTCACCACCACCAACCCCTCCCCCCCCCCCCTCCTCCTCCCTCCTTCCCTCCTCATCATCTTGTCTGTTTACCTTCTTGTCGTGATAACAAACGGCAAACAAGACAAGGACAAATAAGGAAGCAAAGAAAAGAAAAACTGCGCACGCGCGCGTTGTGAAGCACGTAAGATTATTTATTTTTCTTAGAAAGGATTATTTTTTCTTTTCCTCCTCGCTTCCTTGCTGTTGCCGTTGTTCTACGACTTTGTTTAGTTTCTTTTCTTCTTTTGTCATTTCGACTCCTGTTAGTTTCTTTTCGTCTTGCTATCACCTCACCTCCTCTTCGTTTTGTCTCTTGCTATCCCGTTCTTTAGAGTCATTCACACGGTGGCTTTCACCCTGAACACGGGAAGAGAGGTCGCTCTTCTCCTTTCCCACCTGCGCGGCCGAGTCGCTCAGCGCCATTTAGCTTTCACTCAGTACCCCCTCCGTGCGAGTATCCGCCTTCCCTTTATTTTATATTATTTTTGTAAACCCTCTTTCTCTCCCTAGCTATTTTTAGTTCACTTTGTTGTTCCTACAGCAGATCCTCCTACCGGCCACCCCCTCTTCTCTTCTCATCTGTGACTCGTTGTCTCGTGCGTGCGTGTGTGTGTGTGTGTGTGAGTGTGTTAATATATATATATATATATATGTATGCGAGGGAAGGGCTATTCAGTTTTATCTCACTTCCTCTGCGCATGTGTGGGTGGTTCTCTCCCTCTCTCCCTCTCACAACTATTATTATTAATATTTTCTTTCCCTTATTGCTGTTCTACGCCCTCTCACGCGTCTTGTTGTAGGTCCTTTCGTTCTCTTCATTTTTGTCATTTCTGCACCACAGAAGAAGAAAAAAATCCCTTCACACCTCCAGCAACACAAACTACGGAGAAGCGGCCTTGTTAACAAGAGATCTTGTTCACGTCTTGAATATCCTCTTCTTCTTTTGATTTCCCCCCCCCCCTTTTCGCTCTCTCTTTATCTTTAGAACTGCATATATATATATATACACACCCACACAAGCAATACGTGACCGCAACTGATCACCTTGCTGTGTGTTGTGTATTATAAATTTTGTACTCCTTTATTATTATTGTTTTTTTCAGGCTCCTTTTTTTTTTTCTGTTCTTTTCGAGAAATAAAAACCGAAGACAAAGACTTCTGCCTCTCAGCTGCCCCCCTCCCCCCTCCCCTCCTCTCCTCTCCATTTAAGCTCATCTTATTTTTTTTCTTTCTTAAAAAAAAGGGGGTCTTTGCTCAATCCGGTACTTTCTCTTCTGTAGTTCCGCTTTCGTTTTTGAGAATAGTTAAGAAGTCATTTGTTGTTGTTGTTCTTTTGACTAGTGTGTGTGTGTGTGTGTGATTGATTGATTGATTACGTGTCGCCTTTAGCCCGAACTATTCTTCTTCCCTTTTATTTTTCTCTCCACTCTTTTCTTTTCTTGGTAACGCCTGCGTGCCGCTCCAGCTTTTCGTGGAGCTTCCACACTCGACTGTTCAGTTTTGTTTGTTTTTTTTCTCTTTTGTGTCGTTGTTCCTTTACTTGTTGACTGTTTTCCTCTCTTTCAATCTTTAGCGCTGTGTTCTCACCTCTCTCTCTCTACTTATTTTTTTTTTAAGCTTTCTCCGCTTTGCAATCGCTTATTACCATTTATTTTTATTTTCCTTGGCTTTCTACACTTTTCTCCCAATAATATCATCATCTCTGTTGACACACACACACATCCGTTGCCTTACATATATATATATATATATATATATATATATTCATTTTCTCCCTTGCTTCTTCTGTGGGTGTTTGGTGTTGGTTATCTTGGCGTACGTTATCCCAGATTGATTTCTTCCTCTCGTTCTATTTTCTTTCTTTCTCTCTCCCCCTTTGTTTCCCTCTAGTATTTACCTTGGCTTTTTCTGTTGTTTATATCTACTATTTTCTCTCTCTCTCTCTCTGTCTGTCCTACCCCGTCTACGCAAGAGGAAGAAGTACACCGAAGAATTAATTGCCTTTACTTCACAGCAAGGCATCTTCACTCTCCCTCTCCTACTCGTTTCGGTCGGTTTTTGTTTGTTTTTTTTTCCCCTGTTCTTGTACCCTCTCTCTCCCCCCGCTGCTCCCCGCAGCTTTATTTTCCTCTCCAGTTCCTATCTGTTTTGTATATCTGATTGATTGTCTTTTTATTACTGGCTACCTGTAACTCCTCCTCTACTTCTCCTCGTCGAGCACACACACATATATATAGTTATTTATTTATTATTGATATATTTGTCGTCGTCGTCGTCGTCGAGTTCAGCAGTTCGCCATTTCTTGTTGTTTGTTTGTTTTTTCTGGGATACCTTCTACTCCATTATCCCTCTTGTGCTTTCCTTTCCTTTTTCCTTTACGCTACCGTATTACTTTTCCAAACCCAAAAGAAAAAGGCGTAAAAAGCTATTAGAAAAAAGGGATTTCTCCTGTGTTTGTTTTATTGAGTCGTCGTTGATCTCCTTTCCCTCTTTTCCTCTCATTTGCCCTCTCTACACACATATATATAACTCTCTTTCGCTAGGAGCTCCCAGCTTTAACAACCGTGTCTTTATTCTTTCTTTCTGGAGATACGCACGTTACTCTCTCTCTCTCTCTATCTATATATATATTACTTTTCTCTTCTACTTAACAGTCTTGATTACAGGCAGTCGGCTTCTTTTCTTTCGTCTTGTTCTTTATTTTTAGCTGTTGTTCGCGTGTGCGTGCGTGCGTGTCATCTCTCGCCGTCATTCCGAGTGCTCTCGGTAAATCAACGTTGCTTCGGGGTTTTTTGTGATTTTGCTCTGAGGAGAGAACACACACGCACTGCACGTGTCCGATCAACAACACCGTAAGGGGAAAAAGGGGAAAAGGTCAGCAGAGACGGAGAAGCGGCGGCAGCAGTAGCACGCAAAAGGGGAAAGGGAAAAATAAGACTCTTTCGTTGTTGCAACGGCGGCGGTGGTAGTGGCGGCGTTGCGTGTTTCCGTGAAAATCTTCTCTTTCTTATTCCCTTTCTTCCTTACTTTTTTTTTCTTCTTCTTTTCTCTTTTGACAGTCATTCAGGTTTAATAGTCCAGACATCACTCTTATTATTATTATTTGGCCGTTTTCCTGTTTTCCTCTTCTTCGTTTCGCCAACGGTCAACTGCTTTTTTTTCATTTCAGGGTCTCTTCTTGCTTCCATCCTTTCCGTTTCGATCCTTCTGGTTTCATCTGCTGCTGGTGGTTTGTTATCCACCTTCGCCATCTTTTTCTTTTTGTTGTTGTTATTGTTGGTATAATTTATTTTACTGGTACCCTTGTTTGTTTGTTGTTTGCGATACTTGCTTTTTTCCACAGTCGTCATCGCTGACATCGTTGGCGTCTTCCACCGCAGTGTGCGCGTGTGTGCTGGTAGGGAGTACTTTTTTTTCGCATAGACTCGTCGCAGCGAGAGTGAGCAGCGAGTTCAGATTCCTGTCATCATCTTCCTTCTCTCCTGCCAGGAGAAAACGAAGGGCTTTCTTTGGAACACGTGTGCTGTTCTCACAGGTTTTTTTTCTTTTTCCCTCCACTACCTTGCCTTCGCTGAGGTTGCTGTGTGGGATAATCCTCCTTCGTCGTCCTCGTTGTTTGTTTAGCTGTTTTCGTCATAGAGAGAGCACTCACGCTCAACCTCGGCCCGTCGCTGTACGTATCGCTGTTCTTCTCGCCGTGTGTGTGCGTGTTTTTCAAAAGCACAGAGAGTCTCGATTTGGCTCCTTCCCCCTTCCCCCCCTCCCCCTCCTCTGTTTTTCTGTTTTACACGGCCGAAATCTTTTTATATTCGCATTATTAGTTTTCCCTCCCTCACACTGGCAATACCCTCTGAACACGAGTTTTTCTCTTTGTGTTTTTTTTTTTGTAAGGGGCGCGCCGTAGTGGTTCGTGTGTCGGCGGTTTGTCGATTCTTCTTTCCTTTCTCGATTTTTGAACCTAATCGTGTATTATTACTACTGTTGTTATCACTGCTGCCGGTTCCTCGCTCTCTCTCTCCCGTGCAGGCAGACGCTAAAGCGGAAAGGAAAAATAATAACGCTCGTGGGTGAAGCCAGGTTTCACGAGTTTCCAGACCTGCTATTCGTCCTCTTATCTACTAATATTTGTTGTTGTTGTTGTGTGTGTGTTGAGAAGGATAACTATTTTCCATTTTTTCCATTTTTTGAGGAGAAGACAGATGGCTACCGTATCTCCCACGGCGCCTCCGAACGTCGAAGCACCGCGAACACCGGCCTCACACGTGAGCCGAGCCAGGCGTCAGGCATCAACACGCCAACATACGCGCGGTGGCAGCCACGGCGCGACCGGCGCTGCAGCGGTGGTGGTGTCGCCGCACTCGTCCGCTTCCCTTCAGCAGCAGCAGCGCAGCCCGACACAGCGTCAGCATCACCACCACCACCACTACAACAGTCGCTACAACCACAACCACCACCACCAAACTCCCGCTGGCCAGCGCTCCCCGACTCAGCCGCAGCAACAGCGGCAGCTCAACGGCAACAGCAGCGGCCACCACCGTTATGATTACCACCGGTCACCGCCGGCGTATGCGGATCTGACGTTGACGCCAGCGTCCACAACAGGCTCGCCGTACGTCAGCGGGGGCATCGTGACCCCGTCGTTCTCGCCGCTGTCGTCACCGCCGTTTCCGCTGCGGCGCCAACTGCCGCCCACGCATGGCCGCTATCGCTCCTCCTTGCCGGTGCCTCCGCCGCTGCGCAGTCTGCCCACGCCGACCGCGCCGACGAGCATGACGATGACGACGACCATCACCAGCAACAACAACGTCAGCCGCGAAGATGATGAAGATGAAGAAGATGCTCAGCAGCAGCAGCAGCAGCAGCAGCAGCAGCGAAATGCGGAGCCGAGTCGGCGTCGTGGTCTCCCGCCTCCTCTCAGTGTCTCTGCCCACACGTACCATCAACAACAACAGCACAGCAGCAGCGGCAGCGGCGGCAGCCCTAACATAGGGACGCATCACGGCTACACGCAGCGGTCTGTCCGTCAAGGGATGTACCACCGAACCACGAATCAAAAAGCGGCGGAGGTGGAGGTAGAGGAAACGAACAACGGCTTGACGACGCCGGTGGATCAGCGAATCCCTGCGATGGTGCCGCCATCCTACGACGCCTACAACCTCAAAAGCCCTGCGCACGGTGCAGCGGCTGCTTATCGCGGGACACGATATGAGAACAACCTCAGCAACAATCGTATGATGGCTGCTGCCGCTGCTCCTGCTGCCGGCACGACGGCGACGGCAGCGATGGAGGCCACCTTCGCCCGCTACCCGAGCAAGGCTGCGTTTACGCTGAAGGCTCTGCAGCCTCAGGTGGCGTGTACGCAGGTGCGCGCCCGCACGACGCGCCATAAGACGGCGGTTCTGCCTGGCGAGCCGGATTCGTCTAGCGCGTTTCGACGCGTCAGTGAGACACCGGCGGTGCACCAAGAACGCGTCCGTGTGGCAGCAGCGACGCCAGCGGACGACGCGATGGCTGCTGGGTACGTTGCGCCAGCCGATCCGCAGCGAGGTCGCTCGCCAGCTCGCGCGCGCAGTGCGGTGACGACGACGATGTCGTCGTCGGCAGTGAACCCACCCCGTCAAGTCGGCTGTGGTGTTGGCGCAAAGGAAGAGGAGGAGGAGAAGGAAGAAAACGATGCTACCCCCTGTCGTGCTGCCTTTGGAAGTCGCTGTGGCAGCTACTACGGCAGCTACGACGATGGTGACAACCCGCGTCGGCATCATCATCATCAGCAGCAGCAGCACCAACGCACCGGCGGGGTGTCGCCGGCGGTGTCGGAGTGGCGCTCGCCGAGCAGCATCGCACGCGGAGGTAGAGGCGAAGGAGTGGGGATGGGCGGGGCGTGGCTGAAGATCTCCTCCAGCATCGATGCCTCCGCCTTCGACAGCAGCGGCGGCAGCAACGACGGCTTCGGCCACCCCGGCCCGCTCACCACCTCCGTCGTCGCCTTCCATTCCACATCCTCCGTGACACCCTTCACTACCCCAGCGCGCGCAACGATGAAAACGACGAACACCACCATCGCCACCACGGCGGCAGCAGCAGCCCAGCAGCTGCGTTTGGCGTCTGTGGAAGAGGAGTCGTTGCTGTTGAGTGGACAGTGCTGTAGCACGCCGCGTGCGTTGTGCCCGCCACTCCCGTCCTTTCCTGTTGCTGCTGCTTTTCCTTCCGCTTCGGGTGCCGCGGCGGACGGTGCTCCCACCGGACGAGCGGCAACGCACGGGATGGCCGGCCCCATAGCGTCAGACGCGCCTCCCGGTGGAAGACGGCCGCTGCCACCACCGCCGCGGTCACCGGTGCCGACGGTGGCGCTCTCGTGGGGTGCCGCGGTGCCGCAGCAGGCGGAGCGTGTGAACGCACCCACATCCACCACCGCATCGACGGCGGCCACTGCAGCCGCCGCCGCGACGACCACCCACACCAACACGACGAGCACGTCGACGACGATGATGGGCGGCGCGGTGCCCTCCGTGCTGCTCTCGCCGCCGTTTGCGACGACCACGATCGACACCGACCACCCGACGGCGCGGCTGCGTTATCTCCGCGACGCCAACTTCCTGATTTCAGTTGGGGAGGAGGAGGAAGAATGTGAGGAGGACGGCGGGAGAGGTGGAGTAGCGGCAGCAGCAGCGGCGGCGGCCTCCGATGTGTCTGCGTCGTCGGTGTACTGCAGTCCGCAGCAGCTGCGCGGACACGAACGGCTGCGCCTGTCGCTCGAAGGCAGCATCGGCAGGAGTGCGATGGCGACCCCCGTCGACGTCTGCGCACCACCACAGCGGGTGCACCGGGGTCTGACGTACGACCTCGGCAGCAGCAACTACGATGTGCCGGCAACCATGACGCCGTCGTCCACCAACAACAACTGGCCGACGGCCATCTTCACCTCGTCGCTGCAAACGCCAGATGCCACAACGGTCACGACGTCGGCCACGACCACGGCGTACGGCTTCGATGGCTGGTGCTCACCGATGCAGTGGAACCCGCGTCAGGCACGCGATGACATCGAAATGTTCGCGGCGAAGGAGGCCGCTCAGTTTGCGGTGGCACAGCACCGTCGTACCACCGCAGCTGTGCCTTCGATCTCGTGTACTTCGCCCTCGCTGCTCGACACTAACAGCAGCAACGGTGATATCGGCCACGTGGTAGTGCTGCAGCGCACAGGTCTGCGTGAGCCATCGCTCGGGCACCTCAGCGCTGCGTCGCACGTCGCACGTGTCGCCGGTGCTGTGGGGGCGTCGTCATCGTCGTCGTGCGTGCTTCCGGCGTGTGTGGCGCATCGCTCGCCGGAGAATGGCCGGTGGGCCGTCCACGCGCGAGATGGGGAGAAATACTCCGCTGCTCCGAGTCGATTCTCCTATCCACCCCTACAGCAAGATGAACACCAGCAACAGCAGCAACGCGAGGCGAGGGAAGAAGCGGAGGCGGAGTGGATTGAGTTGCTCCTGCACTACCGCGATCGTGAAAACGAAGGAAGCCGCATACGACACGCGTTGGAAGACGCGATGGGGTCACCTCCGCTTGCTGCTACAACACCGGCAGCAGCAGCAGCGGCAGCAGAGCCGATCACACCACCATCCGCTGCTGCTACTCCCACCACGACCACCGCCACTGCTGCCGCCGATACAGCGACACCGTTGCTGACGAGCGCAGGAGAGCAAGACGGCGCTCGTGGCAGTGCGGCGGCGGCAGCCACGCTCGCCTGGTGGGCAACCTCGTCCATCATGCGCAACGGCTTCTCGTCCTCTTCACGTTATCCGTACACCCAGCAGCAGCAGCAGCAGAGTGCGGCGGTGTTTTTATCTTCTTCCTCACCACCGCCGGCGCCGCTTTGTGCGGCGATGTCCGCCCCCGCAGCAGGCCGAACCGTCGCGTTACAGGTGCGGCGACAGCTGCGGCTGCAGCGCGAAGCAAGTCGAATGCACAAGTGGGCGTACTTAGCAGCGCGCCTGCCGATGTACCCCCCGCGGAGGGAAGAAAGTCTGCGTTGATGCAGCGTGATAATCACGAAAAGACACTCATAGATCAGTATTTATCAATACTCATGAGCATTAGAAAAAAGCGATGTGTTGCTCTTCTTCTTTTCTTCTTCTTTCAAGTTTGCCCTTATTGATTATTTTTTTTTAGGTTGTTTGTGTTTATTTGAGATATCCTGTGAAATTCCAAACATGTCTGCGGCTGACGTTGTGCGAGCATCTCTGTGTTTCTTCTACACGGTTATCGCCGCAGCGCTGCTGTATCTTTTTTCTTCCTCTCTTTTTCCATGTTTCTTTGTTTTTGGTTTTCTCGTTAACAGTATTCTTGTTTATCTGATGTGGCTATTGTTTATGTCTACTATGCCGGCACGTGTGTGTGTGTGTGTGAGAGCGCGAGAACGTGCACGGACGTGTTTCTCCTGTATCTGTGTCTTGTTTGTTTGTTGCCCTCGCGTACGCTCCTATTTGAGGTGCTCCTCGCGAGCGTAGGCCCAACGCATCCATCAATGCTTTAATCCTCTCTATATCTACCCGTTTGATTGTTTATATATATATATATATATACTCACATTTATCCCCTCTTCATCGTTGTTGTTCGTCACGTTCAGCCACTACTCGAGTAGTGGCATCATAGAAGAAGCGGAAGCGAAAAGGGAGAAGGGAAAACACGCTGCGTCGTCGCGCGCCAGAACTTACGGAGAGAGTCATCTCGGTTGTGTGTTTTCCGCCTTCTGCAACTTCCTCCGCTTTTATTTTTTTTCCTTACTATTATTAATACTTTAACGACAGGTGGAAAGCCGTGTGAGAGAGAGAGCGCGCGCGTACACACCACAAACGTCAAGACGCAGTTATCGTCTTCGCGCTCTGCTGTCGAGCCTTCAATTGAAGCATCATGAGACGTCGAATTGCCTCTGAGAGTGTGTGTCTGTTGTTTGATTGGATTGGATTGGATTGGATTTTATAAGCTGAGGCAACGCACACTCTCTGCGCGGTTGATGGTGTTTCCACCTGTGTCGTTTCGATAACGGCCTTTCTTTTATTTCTCTCTCTCACTTCTGTTGGATCTCACAAAAGAAAAGAAGAAGAAAAAGAGTCGAATGGGGCGAGAAGCGGTATTACGTAAACAGCAATAATATAATAAAATGTAAAAAAAGATCCGCAGCTCAGGAGCGCATCGCCGCTAACTAACCTGCGCGAGCAACGCCGGGCCGTAATCGCGGCGTCATCATAAACAGAAGAAGAACTGAGAAACGGTTTTCTCCTTTTATTTCCTTTTTTTGTTAGTACTTTTCCCCGATGCGAAGGAATACCCTTCTGTGTGAGTGGGCGATTATCTCTCTCCGTTTTTTTTTGTTTTCTTTGCTGATTTGTTGACCCACAAGCCCTCCTGCCGAGTGCGTTTCTGGAGTCCTCTTTGATCTCCCTTGTATTATTATTTATCTTTCTTGCTACGCCTTCCAAAATACGAACGGCTAATTACCCTCACTCTTTGCTGTTGTTGTTGTTATTATTATTTATCTCCTTTAGCGGTAACAGTAATAATAATAAATGCAAAACACAAGACAGACCACACACGTACAAACTCATAAGAAATGGAGACGCATCCTTTTGTTGGTGGGGGGTCAGTGAGTCAGTGTCTCAGTGTCTGTGTGTGCGCTGATGGTTCCGCCTTTGTCGGAGGCTGGAAACTCGGCTCGCTTTTGTTTTGTTTTTCCTTCTGTACTCACTGCAATCGTGTGGTGTGGTGATCGCAGTTGTCCACTTCGGGACTATATATATATGACAGTAAACGAGAGTTATGCGTCTGCAAAGAAAAGGAAGTTACCGGCTCTTCTTTCTTCTTCCTTTTCTTTTCTGTCTGCTCTGTGCACGAGTGCGTGTGGCTGTGTCTGTCTGTGTGTGTGTTTGTTGGTTTCTCTCTCGAAACCTAATGACTGGCAGCAGCCGTGTTATCGTTTTTCCTGTTTTGTTTTTAATGATTTTTATCTCTTTCTTTTGTTCCCTCAGAATTCTACTCCCTCGACTGCTTCATCGCGTTTAGATTTGTTTTTTTTCTTCCTATATATGGCCTACGATACATTTCTTCTTGTTAAGGCTTTTTCTGTTTGTGCTGCATGCGGTGGAAGCGTTGACACGGCTCGCACGACGCTTTATTATTCCTATTATCCTTCTTCGGATCGAGCCTTCTCACCACTCCTCTAGAAATGCGAACACCTTCGTGTGTGTATGTGTGAGTAAGTGAGTGAGTGGTCGCGCATCGCGCCACACAGTTCATGCAAGAGAATCCAAGAACTAATTGAAAGAAAAAAAAAGATAGTAATTGCGCTCACGTAACGGCACGTCATTGCCATTTTGGTTTTATTTTTGGTGTATTTGTTGTCGTCGTTGTGGTTTCAGACTTTTTCCTCATTATTTTTCCTTTGTCTTATTTTCTTGCCATGCTGACTGCTGCTGTCTCCCTCTCTGTCGTAATGCCCCCGAAGCGGTACGCGTATATAGAGCGAGCGCGTGAGAAGGACCGGTGAGCGACAGAGCGAGACAGAGGAGGCGGTCGGCGGGGGCGGACACACGCACACACACACACACACACATGCGCACGTGCTGAAAACTACAGGACTCGTGGATAGAAGAATAGAAGGAAATAAGCGGCGTAGAAGGCAGAAGCGGCAGAAACGGCGAAACAAATACCCGCTGCCGCCACCACCATCACTACCGCTGCTGCTGCGTTATTCATGGTTAACGAAATTCGGAACTCAAACAACTTTCAAAACATTTTTAAAAGGGAAAAAGAGAGCGAGAGAGAGATACGTCGTGGTCTTTCGCCAGCACCTCTGCGCGCGACTTCTTTGTGTGGAAGTTCTTTGTTTTGTTTCTCGTCTTTGTCTGACAACGGTGGTGGTGCGTTCTTCTTCTGTGACCTTATCCGAGTCTTTTTGTTTTCCCTTTCTCTTTTCCACTGTGCGCGGCTCTGTGCAAAACCATTTTAACTGTTTGCCTCTTTCTTCCTTTTATATTCACTTTCCTCTGAGAATGAAAACGTTCAATGAACGCGAGAAACGTAAACGCTGATGACAGAGAAGCGGGAACGCGGCGCACGCGTTTCGCCATGTGTCCGTCTTGCTCTCTCCCTCTCTCCACGTCACCCGTGGCCTGACGTTGTGTGTCTTTGACAGCGGAAGCAGCGTTGACGAGGAGGGAGTCGAGAGGGAGAGGGCGTTGATGGAGCGCGCGTCATGGGTGGAGAGCAACCTGGACGATGCTCTGCGGTTGCAAGCAAAACAGAGAGACAGAAAGAGGAGGATGGGGAAAAAGAAAACGGCTCCTTTCTGTTTTTACTTCCACTGCGCCTCGAGTGTTATCCTTTTCTCCTCCTCCTCCTCTTCGTGTGTGTGTGTGTTTTGTATTACTATTATTATTTACCTAAGGATCTCACTCATGCCAGTCGTCAATGCAAGCGGCGGTGCCACAGCAGCCGGCACGGCGGCGACGGCGACGGCGTCTTCTACAAAGAAACGGTCGAAGTCTTTCCTCGCAGCACTCAACAAGATGCGCTGGGACAGTGTCCTGGCTGTGATCATCGCAAGCGACCCTTACTACCACTACGCCCCTCCGCAGACGCCAACACACAAGGCGTCGAGTGCGACGTCGAACACTGACAACACGACAGCAGATGCCCCGCCGTCTCCGCCAAAGCACCGGCTTCGTCAGTATCTGCTGTCCTCCAGCAAAACACGGCTGCTCGTGCACGCGGGTGCGGTGGGGTATCTGCTGTACGTGGTGACGCACCCTTCGCAGTACGTGCCGTGTCGCGTGGTCGTCGTGGTGGGGGGAGGTGGAGCCTCCGCCGTGTCCCGATCCGCCCCCTCCACCACAACGGGCTGCTTTCTCTATCAAAGCGCTGAAGGAATGCAGCTGCTGATGCGTGGGAAGATGCCGAGGTGGTGTGTACTGCTGCACGCCATCGCCGGCTCCCTCCTCCTGCCCCTCGCGATCTTACAGAAAGAGTCGGTGTGGTACATGCCGTTCGCGCACAAAGCGGTTGACGCGGATGCTGACGGTCGGCACCCCACGGAAGGCACAGCAACGCATCACGCAGGGGCGGCCCAGGCGCACAGCGAAGCCAAACGAGCGCAGCTGCAGGACGCACGCCGCTCGCGTCGCCGCCACGGCCTCTTCGGTTTTGTGACGGGTGCGTGTGCCGCGATGATGGTCGTCGGGGGGGTCTCCCTTCGCTCCTACAGCGTCTTCTCCGCCTCTGCGGCGAGCTCGCGCGCCGGCGTCTTGAACTTCGCCTCGGCGATACTTTTGTTTGCCGTGCCGTGGGCGGTGCTGATGCCGGCCACAACAGTCTGCGGCGTCAGCGCGAGAGCCGCCGCCCACGCGATGTTCGGAGGGGTTTTTATCAAAGCCATCCTGGCAGTCCCGTTCGAACGCATGCTCGGCGGTCTGTGGCAGCGACTGGACGGCGTCAGCGTCTCGCTGCCTGCCCGCGCAGGGGTCACGCAGCGTGCGGACGTCGGCAACGGCGTGTGTGTGGAGGTGACGCAGCAGGTGGAGGGGGCACTGGAGCGGGTGTACTACAAGAGTATTCTGGCGACGACGATCGTGTTTGGGGTGTGGGGGGTGGCGGACATCGTACGGTTTGTTCGGTTGGCGCGGCAGTGCGTGGTGACGGGTGAGGCGAAGTCGGCGTAGAGTCCTTTCTCTCTGTGTTTATTTGCTTGCTTGTTTCGTTGTTTGTTCTTCCCCGCCTTTTCCTCCGCGCACGTCGGTCGGCTGCGCTCGTTCTTCTACGCCTTCTTCTTTCTTCGCAACCAGGTGCGATGTCGAAGGATCTTATTACCCTATTGTTATCAGTTCAATATACATATATATATATATCGCTAGCTGTCTCTCTCTCTCCCTCTCTCACCCTTTCTTCCAGTGTAGAGTGCTTCGGCGCAGCACTCTACACTCATCACAACTCCTGTACGAACCACAGACAGAAAAAGTACGTCCAGATGAATAGACGGAGCGGGATGGCAAACTCGTGTTTTCATTTTTGTGAGTAGCACGTGCGCACCTCACCACGACTGCGAAGGTGCAGGAAGGCACAGCAGCAGCAGCAGCAGCCGTGTTCGATTCAGGACCGATCTGGACGCGTTTCTGTATATCCTGATATATATATATATATATATTTCTCTCCTCTCCTTCAACCCTCCTGTGTGGGTGTTCGCCCGTTCTCTTCACCTCTCCCTTCGTGTCCTTTTATTTCTTTCCTCTCCATCCCTGTCGAATTCGGCCACAACGCGCACACACACACGGACCCACCCAAAAAGGGAGAGAGAGCGAGCGAAGCGCCGCATCGGTGCCGTCGTCGTTGTTGTTAGACTTTTGATGGCGCATCGGTATTTCTTTTTCTTTCTCTTTGGAAAACAACAATTCTGGATACTCATCTCACAAGCCTTTTTTTTTCCTTTTCGATCTTCAATTCTCATTCATTTAGAAACACACACACACGCACACGAAGGGAGAGAAGAAATAGTAATAATAATAATAACATGTCGCCTTCTGCACTGTCGCGTATGCGGGTGCTCATGCTGGTTTTGGTGCTGCTGTACGTAGCAACAGCAGAGCCGCATCCACATCCAGGGGAAAGCCAACTCGCTGCCCAAGTCTCGCCCGCGTCGGCAACGGATCTCAGCGCCTCGCATCGGCTGCCCTCCAAAGCGGCCGCAGCGAGCACCGTGGACAAGGCAGAATACACCGGACGGACAACTACGCAAGCGTCAGCAGAAGAAGAAGAAGTGCGCGAGGGGGTAGACGCCGCGTTCGACGGCGCTGCTGTCCCGCGACGCACGATGCGTGACGGCACTCCTCCCCTGCGTTGTGCCGATTTGTTCTACAACACAACATCAACTCATCTTCTTCGCAGCAGCAGCAGCACGTCGCACGTCCCACATGAAGAAGAAGAGGTGTTTCGCCTTCTACCCGTTCGGGAGGACTGTTTCTTGACCCCCATGCCTCCAGCTGTGCTGGGGAGCGACCGGTGGCAGCTGTTTCGAAGTGCTGCGACAGCCGGCTCTCGCACGCACGAGAGCGACGCGGTGGCCGTGTGGCAGATCGGTCCTCACACACCCGCCACGCAGCCGCTGTTGGAGAACCGCTTCCATTTCTACTTCATGAACCTCAGCAGCAGCAGCAGCAGCAGCAGCGGCAGCCGAGGTCGTCGTCCGGATTCTTCACCCTTTGAATTTGGAAAAGAGACTTCGACAACAGCGACTGTGACGAGTGGTGTTCTCGGGCAGCTCGCGCGCCGTCTGGACGCGTACAACGACCTCTACACCTCTCATGAGGCGCGACGACGATCACCGCAGCCACACGTCGGCGCAAATGGTGTCCCAATCGTGGTGCACCGGAGCAGCGCGGGAAACAGCGGAGACGACGCACAGAAGACGAGGGACAAGGAAGCGAATGACCACGCGTATTATAATTCCTATCATTATTATGCATGTGCGTTGGAGGCCCTTCAGTCGTGCCAGGCCGCTGTGGTGTCCGTTCTGCGCCGCCTCGGTGCCCTCGAGTATGTTCAGCGGCTAGGTCAGGAGGCGTACCTCAACGCACGCGTGCGGGCGTGGTCGCGCTGGACCACCTGGACGAACGTTTTCTTCACCCGCCAGCTTGTCCTCCGCTTCCCGGTCGGCAGCTACGCGTACGACGCGCTCACACCGGCGGGGCTGTCCGCTGCTGATCGAGCGAAGCTGATGCGCAGAAGTCGCAACGACGGAGAGCAGCGACAGTTTTGTGTTGGAGGCGATTGCGAGGAGGCGGAGGAGGAAGTGGCGGCGGCGGCGGGCGATGAGGATCCTATTAACAATGATCGAGAGCTGCTTTCGCGAATGGACATGGCCGCCAGCAGCTCTCACTCCCTTCTGCGCCTCCTTTCATTTCCGCCTGTCGCGCAGCGCACACCGCACGCGCTGCGGTACGCCTGCTCGCTCTCCGCGGTGAGCGCTGCCTCGCTTATCGTGCGGGAAGATGCACTGGCTCAGGCGCAGCAACGGGAGGCAACGGCACGTCTCTTCACACCGGGATCGAAGGTATCCGCCACGTCCTTCGCCACACGATGGCTGCGTGGTGGCGGTGCGTCAACGACGCAGCACCGTGGCTCAGCCGCCACCGCGGCGGCGCCTTCCGCACCTTCGCGCGGATTGCTGGTCTCGCACGTGCTGAACTTCGTCTTTCGCCTTGTTCAGCGACTGGTGAACGCGGAGCAGGACGAGGATGTGTTCGCCGACATCAGCGGCAACACCGGCGGTGCTGCGTACCCCGGGCAAGCTTTCTCTTCGGCCACCGCGGGCACAGCAGCCGCAACGCGGTTGGGCTCCCCGGCGGTGTGCGCCGCTCGTGCCTTTCTGCGACGTGTTCGCGAGGAGTTGGGGCCGTACCAATCAACGGCCGTCTCATCGCTTCCGATGGCGCTGCAGCAGCTCATCGGCAGCCGGGTGATGCGCACACAGACGCAGCTGATCGAAGAAGAGCGGGAGACGTCGACAGCAGACACGAAACCATCAGCAGTTGGTGGCAATGAGAAACAAACCCGAATGAGACGAAGGCGGCGGGTGGACTTCATGATGGAGTGGACCGCGACGCTGCCGGCAGGGACGCCGATGTGTCTCGCGCTGATCGCCCTGCCCGACGCCGACGGATCGCTCAAGAAAGCATCGCCTGAGTTGCACCTCCGCGTCGAGGAATCACTTGTCTTCGATCAGCTGTGGTTGCTGCTGCTGCTCGCCGCCTACGCGGTGCTGCAGCTGGAGCGGTGTGTGGCGCAGAGCGCGGTGGCACGGCACATCGTCACCGGACTGACCGGCACGCTGCTGCTCGGTGTGATGGTGGTCTTCTACGTTCTGCGTGAACTACAGCGGATGTCCGTGGGGAAGCTGGCGGTGGTCGCCGCCCTCATTCTCGGCGGCTCGACGGCCGCGCTGGAGGGCATCTTCAGCGTGCTCTGGTCCTACTACAATCTCGACTCACTGTGGAGGTCACCGTCGGCGTCGCACGCCGCTGCCGAGCGAGGCGATGCGCTGTTGCTACTCGGGTTGATCGTCCTTAGCGCGCTGTTTGCGCTGAACGACTTGCTGTTTACGCTTCTCATTCCCGCTGTGTACTTCACGGCGGTGACGCGGTGGTCGATGCGGGTGCTGCTGGGGTTGCTGTGGTGGATCTGCCTGCGCCGCAACGCCGAGGCCACTCTCTGGACGGTGTCCGCGTACGTCCTCGTGTTCAACGCACGGTGGCTTTGGTGGGCGTTGTGGTCGGCGTGTTGCTTCTGCGGCTGTCTTCCACGCAGGCGCACGCCACAGCAGCCGCGCCTCGCCGCGTCATCCGGCAACGGCGTGTGGTGCTTGCAGGACCCATTGGACGAGATACCGGATAGTGCGCGGCAGGCACGTGGCTACGTGCGTCCCATCGCCGCTGCAGCTGCGGCGGCGGCGGGCACCGTCGACAACCGCCACAACGGCAGCGGTGAGGGTTACGCCAGACTGAGCACAACCGCGTCGCGGATGAAGAAGTTTGAGGAGGACGGCGCAGCCTCGACGCGGCAGGCGCTGGAGGCGTTGGCGGCACACCTGCGCGCGAACCCCGGCAAGTACGCGACGCGGCTGCGCGACCCCAACGGGGTGCAGCGGTGGGCCGGCGGCACGTCCGACAGCACCGCGCGAGAGAGCGAGGCGAGCGGCGATGATGACGGTTAGCGAAAAGAGAAGAATCGGGTAAAACGAAAACGGTGGAGCCTGTCGTTTCCTCTACTGCTCTTGTTTGTTGGATTGTTAGTTTGCTGCTTCTTACTTGTTTCGTGGGGAAAGAATCTATCGCGGGCGCCTTCGTCTTTTTACTTACCGTGTTGTTGCTGCCTCCCTCTGTCTCTCGAGGCAGTCATTGCACGCAGAAATCTTCAATATATATATATATGTATATTTGCTGCTCTCGCGTAGACAGATGCGCGCATGTCTGTCTCTCTGTTTACAAGAATGAAGACGAGGCGTGGATAGCACGACACAGCCAACTGCCTCCGTCCCTCTTTCGCTGTCTGACACACCTGTCTGTTTATTTTTTATTATTATTATGATTCGGTGTCTTCACTTTCTTTCGCTCTCTCTCCCCTCCATCTCCCAGCCACACTGGTGCTTCGCGTCCACCTTTCTATCCTGTAGCAGCAGAAGGTGATATTTCGAATCTACTTCTTTTATACTTTTCAAGCAAACCAAACCAAACCAATCAAGAAAAGGAAGGGCATCATGCGTGCGTGGCTCGATGAGATGTGGGATCGGCAGGTCGGCCTTGACGAGTACCTGCCCGGCACCCCGCACAAACACCGCCGCCTGCTCGATCTCTTTCCCTACCACATATGGGGACGCAGCAGCATGCCGAGCCAAGAGGAGAGCAGCCGCAACGTGACGGAAGCGGAGAGACGATTTCGCGAGGGGGACGCGGTGCGACGGCGGCAGTACCCGTCCTGCTTCGAGGAGGCCTGCGCGTACGGCAACCTGCAGGCGGCCATCCTCATGTGGTCGCAGGGCACGGTAGACATCGCGACCCGCAAGGCGGTGTACGAAGGCAATAACGCCTCGGCGCTGATGTGGGCTGCGTTTAAAGGGCACCTCCCCGTTGTGCGCTTCTTGGTCGATCACGCGGCGCCGTTGGAGGCGACGAACACGCTGGGTCACACGGCGTTGCAGTGGGCGATCACCGCCGGGCACACGGATGTCGCGCGTTACCTGCTCGACCACGGCGCGGACCCGTCGCACCGCGACCGCCAAGGCTTCGACGCGGCGTTTGCGGCGGTGCAGAATGATCGGCTGGCGCTCTTACTGATGCTCACGGAAGATGCGTCGCGGGAGGGTCACCTACTGCCGACGAGCGATAATGGTCTCGTATTTTATCAGCCCTCGCCTGAACAGCGCGCGCAGGCGGCGGCAGCCGGCACGCTCAACCCCCGCACGGGCAAACCGTACTACCTGCTCGACCCGTCCATGCGAGATGTGGAGGGGCACACCCTCATGCACTGGGCCGCCTACCGTAACTCCCCCGCGACGTGTCAGTACTTGCTGGATCACTGGGGTTACGCGGTCGATGCGAAGGACAAGCACGGACGCACCCCGTTCGTGTGGGCCGCGCGGGAGGGCTTTGCGGAGGTGATGGAGCTGTTGCTCAGCCGCGGCGCTGATCGAGACTGCGCGGATAGCGACGGGTGGACGGCGCTGCAGTACGCCCGCACGCGGAATCACCCAGAGGCTGTGTACGTGGTGGAGACGTACCCTATCGCTTCGATGAACGCACTCGCTAAGGAGGTGGAAGCAGAAGTTGCGGCAGAAGCAGGTGATGTGTTTCGAGCGGGCGAACACGAGCACACGAGCGACAACGCCGCCGACTCTGCAAAGACGGCGTTGCTGGGAGGTTCCCACAGCGGCCCGGGAGCGGGAGCGGCGGGGAGTGGCGGTCGCTACGTGTGCGTGCGCGACCGGCGTGCCTACGGCACCTTCCAGATGCTCCGCACGCACACCATGTTCGCCGTCATGGCCGCGTGCGGACCCCTCTACCTCGTCGCCACGTACGTTCTCATGAACGTTCTGCCGCCCCTTGTCAGCTACTTCCCTTTCGGAGTTTACTTTTTCAAGAACGTGCTGTGGACGTCGCTGCTGTCGCGGCCGACGCAGTCCAGTCGCACCGGGCCGCCGCTCTCCATCACCAAGGAAATGGGCATTGCGGCGAACATTGCGGAGTCGGTGCGGGGGACGTGGCTGTTCCGCGCGCGTGACCCCGCCAACTTTTTTATCTGGCTCTCGTTTCTACTTCTGCAGGTCTGGGCGTGGAATCAGCTGGGGCTCCCACCGCTGTTCACCACCTCCGCCAGCCGCAACTGCAGCAGCAGCGGCACGACGACGGGTCTGTGGCCCACACGTTCGCCTTCGCCGCTGCCCTCCACCGCCACCGCCGCGGGCGACGATCTCGTCCCACCGCCCGTCCACTACGTCGGTCTCGCCTTCTTTCGACTCCTCACATTTCAATCAAACCCGCTACGCCAGTTCGGCAGCGGCGGTGATGGGGGTGACGCCGCCGTCGCCCCCACCGGCCTCGCGCTCTCGCCACAAGACGTGATCCGGCACTCGCGCGTCCGTCTCGACGCGGCGACCTGCGCCTACACGGCGCAGTCGGAGTCCATCGTGCGGTGGGTGCTGATGCTTCTGCTCGTCGCCACCCTTTCCTGTGGTTTTCTGTGTAAGCTGCTCTCTGCCCGGTCAGTGATGCGCAGCTCCGAGGAGGGCACGCTACGCACGTCGCCGCTCTGGCGGATCGTCGCGGCACGGCGGTACAGCTGGCTGCACCCCCGCTTCTTCTTCCAGGAGCGCCACATGCAGTTTCCGCTGCGGGCTTTCTACTGCGCGGAGCGCGACGTGGTTGTGCGCGACTACGACGGCTACTCGAACCTGCTGGACTGCCCCATTGGGCGCTCGAACCACCTCCCTTTCGTGCTCGCGCTGACCAGCTTCACGCTCTATCAGCTTTTCATACTCACGTGGGGCTACCAACACATGCGCGCCCTGCTGCAGTGCCCGGTGCGGGAGCCGTGGTACGGCGACGCGTTCTTTGCCTTTCAGCAGCCAGAAGCGATGGAGGCGGCGCTGAAGTCGCGAGCGCCGTTTCTCTCTTCCCCGGCAGCAGCCGCCACCTCCACCACCACCGCCGCAACGACAGCAGCAGCAGCGGCTGACTCCGCTACGATGCACGCTGTCGCCTCTGCTGTGATGTCTGCCGCAGCCCCGGTGATCAGCTTTGCGTGGCTGAACAACGGAATGAACCTCCTCCTGCACGGCCTGCCCTGCCGTCAGCATCAGCGCCTTGCCGGAATCGCACAGGACTACGTGCACGCCGTTGCCGCGGCCGCTTCCAAAGCAGACGGCGGCGCACCCCCCTCACGTCTCGCCCATCACGTCCGTCGCGTGTTCTTCTTGGTCCACTACTACCTCTGGCCGACCCGCGCCTCCGCGCTCGGTGTGTGGGTACTGCACTATAGCATCCTGTCCGCCCTTGCGGTTGGCTGCGTGGCGGTCCGGCAGTGGCGCGGAGTCTGGAGCGGGGCGACGCGAGTGGAGCTCGCCAACCCGCTCGCGCAAGGGAGCGACGGTGAGCTCGTGTCCATCTTTCCAAAGGCGGCGCAGCAGGCGCAGCGGGTGGCGCTGGTGGATGCGGAGGAGGAGCGCTTCTACGCGGCGGTCAGCCCGGAGAAGGCACGGCCCGTGGACGGGCTGCCCGAGCAGGGAGGCCGCTGCATTTACGCGGACGGGAGCGGGCTGGTGAATGTGTGGAGTTTTGTGCGCGGTCGGCGGGGGCAGCGGTGGCGCGGTGCGATGACGGTCTCGTCGCACAACACACCGGTGAAGACGCCGATGCTGATGTGAGAACAGACCGAAGAAACTTTTTTTCGATTGGAAGGGAAGAAGAGGAGGGGGGAGGGGTGTAGGTATGAAAGAGGAATGTGGAATTATCACCTCTTCTATGAACACACACACAGAGACATACCTCTATATGTATGTATAGAGAGAGAGATAGTACTGATGCCTTTAGTAGTGCTGCTGGTGGAGATGATGTGGATTGTGTATTTCATGTGTGTGTATGTGTGTCTTCACTGACAAAGGAAGAAACAATAAAACTAATTGTTCTCAGCAACGTGGGAGGAAGCGAAGGAAGAGGGCACAACGATGGCTACAGCGATCGGATTGCCGGGCCGAAACGAACCTCCTCTCCCTCTCCTCTCCCTCTCCCCCTCTCGTAGCGCTTGTCGCTCCTTCGCGCCTTTTTGGCTTTCTTTGGGCTGTCGTCGTTGTTGGTGGTGGTAATTTGTGTTCTCAGCATCCTTCACTGCTGTTTATCACTTGACGTCTAACCACGCTTTTCAGGGCCAAACGAAGGAGACAGCGCAATGTGATCTGCGCAGGGTGTTTCGTTGTTGTTGTTGTTGTTGCCTTGACGGCAACACGCCTTCTGACCCCGCGCATCGGTGCGGAGACGATACGAGGCGTCTACCCTTGTCCTTTCCTCTTCTACCCCCGCCTTATTTCTGTTCTTCTTTTCGTTTCCTGTGTGTGTCTGTCTGTGTCTCTGCGCCGTGCACATCCTCTTCTCGTTGCACCGCCGGTGCTTCGTGCACGCTTCGACTTCGGCGCCTTCGTACAGGACAGCTCAGAGGGAGGAGAGAGGGAGGTTTGAATTCATAATTAGAAAGCCCTGCTGGATTCATTTGGAGAGAACACGCCGTTCGACCTTCTTTGTGCTGTCATTGTCTTATCACATTTCTGTCTCATGCCGCTCTCAAGCTCCCCTTCCACCACCACCACCACCTCCTCCTCCTCGGGTGTGGTGCACACCACGTTGCCACTGCAGGCATCACCTCCGTCGAACCAGCAAAAACAGCAGCAGCAGCAGCAGACGTACGCGGAGGTGGACGTCGACGTGCCGTCGACAACTGCACACGTCGCCAGAGCCCACAACGCCACCACACACTCCACGAACGGCAGCGATGAAAGCTACAATGATGAGGATGAGTACCATCAAGGTAATACATCACCAGGCCAGCAGCAGTCGCAGCGACGTGCAGGGACACCAACAACCGCGAGAGGACACAATGCGGATGGCAGCGATGAGCACAGGGAGTTCGCTTCCGACGGCAACGTAGAAGCGGTGGTGGACGAAGAAGAAGTAGAAGAAGAGGATGATGAAGAAGAAATACGAGATGAACTCGATTTCTACTGCCAGCCCTCATATTTGTATCCAACGTTAGCGTCCTCCACACCGCCAGAAGATCAGCAACGAGCCACGGGGCCGGCAGGACGAAACGCGTCCGGCCTGGTTCCCTCTTCATCGCAGTCGTCCTCCACCGACAGACGAGGGGATAACGAAGAAACGGACGAAGACGCGGGGGCAGCGGACCGCAACAGCATGGATGCGCCGCCGCCACCGCCGTGTCGTGGTACCCCCTCACCGCACCTCCACGCGGACACGGGGGCACACCGCAGCGAGGTCGTCCCCGCTCATGCGCCCTCTCCAACGGTTAAGCTGCCCGACGCAGTGGGTGTTGGCGACAGGGACGCACGCGAGGAACGTGTCTATCACCAGCTCTACCCCACCGCTCCACGAGACAGCAGCAGCAGCAGCAGAAGTACCAGTAGGGATGAGCAGCAGCGCTCGACGCACGACGGTGAAGCTTGTCACGACAGCTACAACGAAGCCGACGGGACGGACAACGTGTGCGTACGGAAGCCTTCGCACCGTCACCACACTCCACCGGCTGCGCCCCGCGCGATGAGCCACAGTTATCACAGCATCCATAACGACAGTAATAGATGCAACGCGGAGGCAGCAGCGGAGTCTGCTGATGGACCGTACGTGCCGCCGCTCATGGCGGAGTACGATGGAGAGCTGTTGCAGATCATTAGGAGCTACTACGTGCGCAAACGCGCTGCAACGGCAGCAGCAGCAACAACAGCGCGAACCACAGTGACGTCGGCCGAAGACGCATCAGTGGTGTCGTCGCGTGAGCTGAACGGTCCGTCTGTTGTTGGTTCATCCGTCACGCAGGGCGGGAGCGCGAGAGGCAGCAAGGGAGAGTTGTTGGCGCATACAAGCAGCAACAGCGGCGCCAACAAGAACGATGGCAGCGCTGCGGTCACAGGTGGCGACGATGGTAGCGACGCAGCACACGATCCTCGTCATCTTCTTCCTCCTCCGCGATTATCTCACACACTGGCACGTGAGGAGGAGGCATGCATGCTGGTGCAGTTACCAGCAGCGGTCGCATCCACGCAGCCGTGCCACAGCACCAACAGCAACGACCTCAGCTGTAGAGAGCAGAATACTACGGCTATGAACTCCCGGGATGTTCGTGGCGCTGCACACATCAACTATGGTCCCTCAGCGCGATCAGCAGTGCCATCCGCCTCTTTCGCGCCCGACTACGCGAGCTCCGCGTTGGATCGCATGAGCGGCGTGCGCCTCCACGTCAGCAACCACGACAACACGCACAAGAACAGCAGTGGTGGTAATGGCAGTCCATCGTCGGTGCAGCCGCGCCTCTCCGGCGATGGACGTCCCCTCACGGGAGGCACAACAAACATGAACAGCAGCAGCAGCAACGGCGGCGCGTACGCCCTACCACCACCGCTGACGGACACACAACGGCAGCAGCAACCACTACCACCTTCGCAGCGAGCCGATCCACGCTCCTTTGGGCCCTTCTCTGCAGCTCTACCGCCCGCCTATACAACTCCGCCCACGAGGAGAAGTTTAAGTGATAACGCCGCTGCGGTGACCAACTCGTCGTCTTCTGTGTTTCATCGGCGCTTCGCATCGTCGCTGCAGGAAGGCGGAGACGGCGGTGCGTACGGAGTAGACGCGCGTGAGTTCGACGCACAGAGCTACGCCTCAACGCAGCAGCCGTACCGCACTGCCTCTACGTCCGCGTCGATGGCGTTTCCCTTCTCCGGTGATGGTGCTGCCGCCGCCACGGCCAGTGCTGCGGCAGCAAACAATACCAATAACAACAGTGGTAGTAGTGGTGTTATGACGATGGACCCTGCAAGTTGGAGCGGCAGCGGGTTCTTCCGCAGCCCCGCCCTCGCCGCCGCTGGATGGGTGGGAGGGGCGATTGCGCCACGTGGCGGTGTCAGCGGCCAAAGCGGGAGTGGAGGTGCGCTCGCCAGCGGCCTCTCCGCGCTCTCCAGCCTGCCCTCCTACAGCTCGACCTCCTTCGTCCGCGCCTACGTCTCCGACATCAGTCTCAGTCTCGAGCCGGCCGTTCTCGTGTCGGCGCTGACGGCCGCGCTGAACATCATCGTCGTGGCATTCCTGCAGCACCACGTCCTCGACACCCGCGATCACCTCGGGCTGTTTCTTATCGGCAGCTACATGATCTTCGCGTCCTACTACATGATCTACTACTTCCTCGAGCGGTTCTCCGGCTCGTTCCGTCGGATCGCCTCGCAAGACAAGAAGTTCTACATTATTGGCAATTTAATCAAGGCAGGTATTCTTGTTTCGATTACCCCCTTCGCCTGTGTGCATCTAGTGAAGATCATCGTCTTCGACGCGTGGGAGAGCAACATCCTGCGCAACCTCGGCTGCATCTACGCCATTCCCGACTTCATTTCGATGATCATCGTGCGACGCATGCGCTGGTCCACGTGGATTCACCATGCCTGCGTCATCGTCTTCAACTACTTCAGCATTATGAACAACTACCAGCACGAAAACGTGTGTCGATGCGTGGTCGTCTACGCAGCCTTTTCGTCCTTCGCGTACTGTGTGAACGTGCTGCTGGCGTCGCGGTTTCTGGGTGTGTCCGTCAACGCTGCGCGCGTGTTGTCGTTTGTGGCCTTGGTCGTGTACGCGCTGTGCTGCGCGGTGAACTGGGCCTGGCAGGTGTACTACCTGCGCCGCCTGCTCACGACCGGGCACGAGCACTGGACCGTGTACGCGTACATGTTCCTCATCTCGCTTGTGATGTGGGATGACATCTACCTGAACCGGTGGCTGCTGCATCACGCTCGCAACAACTCATACGCGGCGTCGCAGCATCTTCAGCAGCACCGCATGCGACAGCAACAGCAATCACAGCAGCGGCAACCATCACCGCAGTCGTCCCCGCTTTTTGCCGCGCAGCTGCGGCCGGGACTTCTTTTCCGCAGTCAATCGGAGCAGCAGCTCCCGGGGCCGCAGATCGGTGTGCCACCGCGAGCGCTGTAAAACGAGGAGGACGGAGGGAGGGGATAAGAAGAAGAAGAAACGGCGACAGAACTTTTTTCCAATGCGCGTTGCCAGCGATTGTGGAAGGCGTCGGTTTTGTAGATCGCTCTCCGCATATATTTCTATGATTGCGTCTCTTTGAATCACCATGCACCGCTTATTTCTTTTAGTATTTCTATTATTGGCTTCTGTGCTACGCAGGCGTTGTGAAGCAGCGTCTGTTATGAGAACGGCCACGTTGAACGGCCCTCCTTCTTCCGCCGCCACCGTAATGGATCACTCGGACGGCATTGCTTTTGTTTTTGTTCTACGGTGGTGGTCGTGTTGGTGGTGGTAGCGGGAGAAAGAAGCGTCGGCTTCATCCTGTTCTCCTGGTGCGGGCTCTCCGCGTGTACTGTGGAGCGGCCCGTGTCCCTCGTCTTGTGTGTGTGTGTGTGTGTGTGTGTGTGAGAGACCCTGTGCGCCTTCGCCACTTTGCCCCTCTCCTCTCTTCACCCCCGCTCCTTCCCTCTCCACTCTTCTCTCATTCACACACCTGCGCACGCACACTAGCTAACGTTTTCACACAGCGTAAGACATTCCTCCCCTCCTTTCTTTCTTTCTTTCTTTAAAGCCCCTTCGTGCTCCTCACCGCACGGAGCATCCTCCGCGACACACGCCTCCCACTTCTCTTGCACACACACACACACACACACACACACACTCATACGCACGTACGTTCTCCAATATGGTCAACCCGTTTCTGTGGATCGTGGTTGTTGGCGGCTTCGTGTGCTTTCTGGTGGCGTGCGGCAACGGCGCCAACGATCTGGCGAACGCCTTCGGCACGAGCTACGGCTCGCGTGTGCTGACGCTGCTGCAGATCATCGTCATCGCGGCCGTGTGTGAGTTTGCCGGGGCGGCCGGGTTGGGCAGCAACGTCGCCACGACGATGTCGAGCGGCATCGCGAAGATGTCGACCTTCCAGAACGACCCGTACGTGCTCATGTACGGCTTCCTCTGCACCCTCGGCGCGTCCTTTCTGTGGCTGCTGTACGCCACCGTGGCGAATCTGCCGGTGTCCTCGCACCACGCCGTCGCAGGCGGCATTATCGGCTTCGCACTTGTCTACGGCGGCGGCGATGCCGTGGTCTGGGCTGGCCACAAGAGCACCTTCCCCTACGTCTCCGGCGTGGTGCCGATCGTTGTCTCGTGGTTTGTCTCGCCGCTGCTGGCGGGCCTGGCGGCAGCGATTCTCCACTGCGCCGGCCGCTACCTCTTCCTCGAGCGCGCCTACGCCGTTCGCCTCGCACCCTTTCTGCTGCCGGTTGTGGTGCTCGTCGTATTTTTCTTGGAGTTCCTCTTTATTTTCCTAAGTGCGGCGAGCAGCCGACTGGGGTGGAAATCAAGCCACTCCACCTGGATGGCCGTGGTGGTAGCCGTTGGCGCGGCGCTGCTGTCGCTGCCGCTGATCCCGCTGCTGAGGCGGCGCTTGGCGGCGATGGCACGATCAGCCGAAGCCCACGCTGCGGAGGAGGGCTGCGACGCAATCGAATCGATGCGGCAGTCGATGAACGGGGCACGCGTACGTCACGTCCGCACCTTCGCGTCGGCGGCGCTCGCGGCGGAGTACCGCGCTGGGCAGAAGCAGCAGCGTCGTGCGGTCATCGCGGGATTGGACGCGGGAGGTACGGACAAGAAGAACAACGGCACACAACAGCAGCGGCAGGGCGACGAAGATGCGGAGGACGACATGCTGCAACCGCCGTTGTTGGCGCCTGCGCGCACAGGTGTCTCCCACAACAACAACCAGAGCGACGTGCGCAACAGCGAGGCCGACGCACGCGCGGCGCGGAAGCTGTGTGTGTCGCGGGAAGTGGACGGTGCCGTGGTTCGAGAGGACACGTCGGAGGCAGACGGAGAAGACGCGGGCTCCACCCCTGACTCCGACAATCGCGCCACCGCGCTTCCCTTCGGTGGCGGCGCGCGTGTCGACCCCAACCACAACTACTTGGTGTACGACGAGGCGGGCGTGCTGCTGTTTGATCCTCGCGCCGAGTACCTCTTCCGCCTCCTGCAGGTCTTCACCGCCGCCTGCACCTCGCTGGCGCACGGCTCGAATGATGTGAGCAACTCTATCGGTCCCTACGCCGCCATCTACGAGATCTACCGCACCGGCACGGTGGAGAGCACGACGCACGTGTCGACGTGGCTGCTGTGCCTCGGTGGTGCGGGCATCGTGGTGGGTCTGGCCACCTTCGGTCTCAACATCATGCGGCTGCTCGGCGAGGACTTGGCGATGCTGACGCCGCTGCGTGGCTGCGCCGCGGAGGTGGCGACGGCGCTCGTCGTGTCCCTCGCCACCGTCTATGGCATCCCCGTCTCCTCCACCCACTGCATTACCGGGGCGGTGCTGGCGATCTCGATGGTCGATGTCGGTTTTCACCGCGTTCGCTGGGCACTCGTGCTGAAGATGTACGCCGGGTGGATCTTTACGCTGGTCGTCACCGCTGTCGCCTCCGCCTGCTTCTTCGCGCAGGGCATCACTGCACCGGTGCCGACCACGCCGCAGTAACCGACGCGCCCGTGTTTTTGTTTTGGCCTTTTTATTTTCTTCTCCTTTCCTACGCACCTCACTTCGTACAGTGAAGGGAGCGTTGCGCGGTTTTTTGTTTTATTCGCCGTTTTCTTGGTAATTCCCTCTCTCCGTACTTTTTTTTCCTTATGGAACGGCCCACCTGAGGGTGGTGGGTGTGTG